AGTCAACACTACCACTTTTCAATAAATATACAGTGGTACCTCGGGTTACATACGCTTCAGGTCACATACGCTTCAGGTTACAGACTCCGCTAACCCAGAAATATTACCTCGGGTTAAGAACTTTGCTTCAGGATGAGAACAGAAATCGTGCTCGGGCAGCGTGACGGCAGCAGCAGGAGGCCCCATTAGCTAAAGCGGTGCTTCAGGTTAAGAACAGTTTCAGGTTAAAAACGGACCCCCGGAACGAATGAAGTACTTAACCTGAGGTACCACTGCATTAAATTTGCAGTGCAAAATGAGGAGAAACAAACATTATATAATAACTATCCAAAGAGCATAATCACTGTGTGTCAGCATAATATAAAAGCCTTTTAAAAAATAGCTAAAAATGCTGTTTTATAAATTATCAGACTTACCAAAGCCAAATAAACATGTACGTATACACCCACCCACACCCCTTGTACTAAAGACTGGTAACCCAGGACTGTCATTGCACACAATAAAACAAACCTGGTACATTTGCTTTTTAATAGTAATTTAGTATTGGGGGTCTATTCCATTCTTTTGAGCAAAATATTGAGGATGAGCTTGATGGAGTGTAAGGTATCAATGGTTCCTTGTTGTGACAGCTATAAACTATGTCTGGTGTAGGAGGCAGTATGCCTCTGAATATCAGTTGCTCAAAATCACAAGAGGGGAGAGTGTTGTTCCACTCGGGTTGTGCTTATGCCAGGTCCCACTGGCACCTGGTTGGCTTGTCGGGCATAGGATGCCGGGCTAGAGGGGCCTTGGGTCTTACCCAACAGGGCTCTTATGTTTTCATAAGACTGAGAATGAAATCAAAGATGTGTGCTTGGGAGAAAGCTCTTGATTTCTCCTTCTCAGCTGTAAATCAGTGTTTTTGTTTTAATGTGGTGCCGCCTTCTGTTGCTGCATGGCTCCAGAGGCATACCTAGGCTCCCTTGGCAAGGAGCTGTATGGGCGCCTCTGAAGCTGGACCAGAAACTTGGCTTTTCGTTGCCTTTTGCACTCCACCAGAAGTGTACCTAGACTCTTCCTTCCCTCTGAGCTCTGCTCTCACTCTTCTGATAGGGCTGGTGGGCTTCTAGGGAGGGGGCCCCACAGGGCAACAGCCCACACCAATGACTGGATTCCTTCACTGAGGCACCCAGAGAAATCTGTGCACCTCGCCTGGCCACCCAGGTAACGGAGGGGCAGCCCCAGATGGGCGGGCTGGCTGGCTCCTAGACACTCTGAGCCAGGGCAGGAGTGACAATTTTTGCACACACACACACACACCCAGGCCTTGTCGGGAGCCAATTTGGTCCAACCCTATGTGTGCCCTTGCATGGTGCTACATTAAAAAAGCACTGAATTCTACCAGAGGATTGAAAGAATGAGGAACACACTGGGAGTGGGCCTGATTCCTTCTGGGTTGTATCCAGTGGTAGTTGTACTCAGTGTAGACCTACTGAAAAGACTAGATTAATTCAATTGATTTTCAATAGGTCTGCTGTGAGTAGAAACATAGTTGTATACTGGGTAGGGTTGGATAGGACTGAACCGATCCATCAGAACTCCTCTTATATTCTATATTATTGCTCCTGGAACTTCTCACCATTTGGGGGAAGTGCACACACACACACACACACACACACACACACACACACACAATATCCGTCCCAACCACAACAGTTCTGCATTTTTGTTTCCATAGTATTGGATAATCAAGCAGTTGAGTGACTGTAGACTTGGATAACTCGACTAGTGCATTATAATAATTTTTTTGTCCCATTATCTCCATGCTAATTAATCTTGTACCCTTTAACATTTCTTACTTTCCTCGGCTGCAAACTTTGTGTTTCTTTCTCAAAGATGAATTTCCTCCTACCCTTCCTTTCCTTCAACTTACTGCTATCTCTCTGAGCTGCCATCATTCCTATTCCTCTCTCTCTCTCTTTCAGACATCAAATCTTTCTCCCCTGCCCTTATATTTCCCAAGGGTTCTCAGCAGGAAATGCAAGACAGCAGGCAGCTCCCAAATGTCCGACTGGGCATCAGCAGTTGTCTCTCTTGTTGCTGTTAGAATGCACAGCTTGTTCGCACACTATTAATGCAAGACAGTCTAGATTCTGAAGTAGTGTGTGTTTTGTGAGATAATTCCCAGCTTGGAAGCACAGTCTTGGTTGTGGAAAAACATTCTAAGAATTGCTGCCTTTAGGCCTCCAAGCCAGAATGGTTTGTTCCAAGATACTATCAAAATACTGATAGCGATGTAGCACCTTCTCTTTGCAGAATTTCCAGAAAATAAAAAGTACAAAAGTAGGTGTTGCAAAAAGAGAACAAAATTTCAGTCCTGCCCCCCCTCAAATCAAATCAGTTCTGTTGCAATGCATCCCCTAAGCTATTATTTATGGTTTGAATGTGTGCCAGTTACCTCAACAATGAAGTAGGATAAAATGTCACAAGAACTAGGAAGTTGTGTTAACTGGAAAAGACAAAGTGGCAAAGAAATATAGAAAGTGCATATTGTTTATTATGGCATGTATTTTTGTGCTTTTATATTGTAAACTGCCCTGTGATCCTCAGATGAAGAATGGTATAGAAACCTCATAAATAATAATAATCCTCCATAGATTATTTGGTATCCAGCTCCGACCATCCCTGACCATTGATCATGCTGTCTGGGGCTGATGGAGATGGGAGTCCCAACATCTGGAGGACTACATGTTCTCCAACCCTGCCTTAGGCAAACAAGACAGCTTTTGAACTGGGCTCCAGTCTTGGTCTTATCAAAAGGTGCTGTCAGGAGCAGGTGCTAGGAGCAGGTCAGCAGTAACTCATATTGCTTCAGTGAAGTTAACTCTTTATTCAAAGAAATGAGATCGCTTAGGAGGCCAGACCTACTGAGCACAAGCAACTCTTCCCAGTAGAACTTGCCCCTGAGACACTTGTGAGGACTGAAGGTTCCCGCCTTTCCACCACTTGCAAAGCCCCATCCTCCCCCAGTTCCTTCTCAAGCAATCTGAGTTTTCATCATCTTGCCTGCTTTTGCTCTGTCCTCATCATACCTCTTTGGGTTCTGGGAGACCACAGGGGAGGGGAGCTGGTCACAGCAGGAGGGGGAGACAGCTTGGCTTCCTCACCAGCCTGATGCATCGCTGTTTCTTGGCCACCACTCCTCTCCATCCTCCTCTTCTGCCTCTGGTTCTGGTCTGCTCTCTGCCACAGGCTCTTACTGCTCACTAAACCCCGTTACCTCTTCAGCTTCCAACAACTTCTCCCAGTCTTCTCCATCTTCTCCCTCTGACCACTCGTTATCATCCCACCACCAATCCCCTGCCTCTGAGCCTCCTTCCCTTGGAGATTCCCACCACCCTTCTGCATCCAGACAATCCATGACAGGTGCTCAGAGTTCTCTGCTCTAGCCTCAAAGCCCACAAAGGTAACAAAAAAATTAATTTCAATAAATGACAGCCCTATGTGACATTACTTACTATTTTGCCTCCAGCTTTACCCCTCTTTAGAAGCCACCCAGCAAGTTCAGGGTGTAATAATTATTTCACTGATAACAAGAGAAAATTGACCCATTACAGTCTTGAGGAAGTGACTTCTCTGATCATGAAATGTGCTTTGGTTGGCTAGCGGTCGGATTATCTTTACAACCACTGCATAAGCATTTGCTGCCATTAAAATGGCCACCTATAGACACAGTTCTTCCATTCATTCTGTGACCATCGGGTAGATGGGCAAAGAGGTAGCCAGTTTTGAGCATCCTTCACCTGCTAATTGTTCTCACTCCACAAGGCTTTGAAAGTAGGGAATAAGGTAATCCACTGCTGAGCTGTTTCTCTTCATGGTAATATCTGTCACTGGGACAGGGAGAAAAAGGATAAATTTCCTAAGCTTGATGTGTTAGGTCTGGCCATCAGTGGTTAAGAAGATAGTGTCCAGCACAAGCAGAGCTTTATTTTACCTAGCAGGAGCAAAGTTTGGACAATGCGGAGAAAGGTCTCTTTCCTGTCAGTGTTTTGTGGCCCTGGCTACTGGCCGAGGAGAAAGCTTTTCATTCTGAAATATGCTGCTGTTCCCACTGTCTGTAGAGACAGGAATATTAGCACTGTGAATTAATCACAAATTCATCTCTCTCTAACTCTCTGGAAATAGAACAGAGCTTAGCAATTGTGTGCTCTACTTGTTCAGCAAGCACCACTGGAAGGAACAACCGTGGAACTGTTAGTGTGCTCTTAGCTATTGTGCTTGACACTCTCAGCATGATTCACTGCAGACAATATATACGACTATTCACAAGGGGAATGAACAGTAAATACTAGGCCCTGGATTTTTTTTTTTTTAATAATAAAAAGTCTTGTCAGTTGTTTCCTGATTTGTATCCTTTATCCTCCTCGCTCTTGTGCAGTATAAGCTTCTCAAAGCTAATGCCCATAACACCACCCCCCACTGGTAGCAGCGGGCTGTTTTGCTGCTGTAGGGTTCACACTGCTATGATTTACAATGGCGGCCATTATTCTGAAAAGCTGTGCATTAACCTAGTGGCACAGGGTTGCTCAAACACCTTCCCTCTGGTTTTACTTTCCTCTGGGGAGCAGTAGCTATTACAGCAAAAGCTTTCTTGGTGGTAACAGCCAGGCTGAACTTGGCAAGAGGTACAGCTAAGAAGCAACTTGAAATATGAGCTATATCCACATAACCAAATTATATTGTTTTGAAGAGTGTTAGTGGTTCCCCGCCCCCCAATGGTGGTACTTTGATCCTGTGTAGAAAGAAGGTTGCCTTAAGCACAGCCTCTGAATTTGTATTTTTGTCCTGTATCTTGAATGAAATATAACCACAGGGGAATAGGACATTTCTTGTTAATTCAAGATATCATTGCCACATTGGTTTAAACCCAGAGGGAATGAACAAATGACAATATTGTGCAGCAATTTGTTCTCAAAAAGTAAATTTATCAATAAAGCCAATGGAAGTAATTCAAACCCCTTAAACAAAAAGCTCTCCTTTCCCATTCTCATATGTTCTCCATACGTTTTTAAATTTTTTGAATTGTGGTACTAACTGTACATAAAACTACCAAGAAGCATAGAAATCCTTTGATACTTTATTCAATATAATATTACATGAAAACAGTCAACACCTGACGAACCATTACATCTTTCATAATACAGACAAATTACACATTGAAAACAAACAATGTAACATTTACTTAACCATACTGCTTACTAAGCTGTCATTCTAAATTGTGTGGCTATATGTATGTATACATATTTAATATTAACATTGTTTGAGTACCAAACCCCTGTTAAAAAGAGCACTTTTGTGCCTTATATAAAGAGCCCCAGCAAGGGAAGATTTTGAATATAGCACTGCAGAAGGGCAGTTTTCTGGGATTAGGGAATTTCTTAGTGCATCCTTTGTTTTTGCTTTTGAGAATATTGCAAGGCAACAACAAATATAATTACCTCCACACCTTTATGTCAAGAGAGAAGGTTTAGTTATGGCCAATAACAGAACATCTATTTATATGGCATCTATATTCAGTGCCAGTCTGTACAGTCTAAATGCCATTTATCCTATTAGGTTATAAAAACAATAATAATGTTTTGTATGGAGCACACAGTTCGTAGTCCATTGTGCACACACATAAAAGATCACACTTAGGGTCTGTTGCCCTCACCACTGAGAGTGGTGAGGGTTTTTCCAAACCAGAATAAATAGGAAATGTCTACGTAAAGCTCTTCCAAATGTTGAAAGGAAGACTTGAACCCCAAAGTTTTCTAGCCATTGTGCATTAAAATTTCTACTGCTACTTAACCACTTTATTCTTAAGATAACCCCAAGGGTACTGTATAGTCAAGTAATGCCAATACTACTCCACTGTTTAGGTGTTCTGCATGTTTGGTAGGGTTCCTCTGAGAAGAAAAATCAACATTACAGCAAACTCTTATTGTTGACTGCAAGCTGAAGCTCTTCACAGCTTCAGAACTGTGAGTCTCCTCATTGGTAAACCCACTAAAACAAGAAGGGGCACAATTCAGGAGTACTGTAAGGAAAAGGAAAGCTGTCGCATTTCTAATACCAGTCACATAGGCCCAATCTATATGTTATCAAAACAGCACGGTTGTGGCTCTACCCACCTCTGGTCCTCTATTGCTAGTTCTCTGGCTATGCATTTGAAGCACAGAATCATGTGGAATAGTTGGATCCTGTAGGTAGACTTTACATCTACCCATGTCATAAAGCTCATTCAACTGTTACTGGAAAAGTACGGGATTCAATTATGGGAAAGCAACAACCTCCATTTCAGCAACATATGAATCAGCCCACAATTGTTATATACATGGGGAAATGAGAATAAGAATTGTTTCTTTTCAAGTAGCTGAAAGGAGGACTGGAACTGTATCAAGTTTTGGCTTTTGTTGCAATCTTGCAAAGCTCAGAGTGGCTTCATAACACAGGGGAAACAGTGCAAGGGACTTCGGAGTGCCCAGAGCGCAAGATTCCCATCTCCTGCTGCAGTCAAGGGCACAATGCTCAGATGCAGAAAAAGCTTGCGCAGCTGATGGTGGAGGTAGATGTAACATTTAAAAACCTGTGTTATGTAGTGTTCAAAGCTCTCCAGGATTGCCTTTACACCTCCAGAATAGAGTTCTGGAAATTAGCGGTTTTGCCTGAGTGACCCTTAAGAGAATCATTAGAGGGATAAAATGGCGTAGAGGGAGTTATGAACAAAATTATCTAGCCTTGGGACTTGGCAGAAACAAATAGAACATTGGAATATATTTTGGGGTTGGAGTATGCTCTAAAAAGGGGAGGGCATGGTTTTATAATTACGACTCTCTTTGTTGAGGACTTGCATGGGTTAACTATACTCCACTGGATTTTTCTCTTGGCCAGCCTGATGATGTGGATACAGATCATACTGCACAGATCATACAGCAGATCATACCCATCACACAACCCTTATGTGTATTCCTCTTACACTGCAGTGACAATTACCTCCCCACCCCAATACAACTATAAAGTTCAAGCTGGTTTAAAATTTAGTTGCTTGAAGTACATGGAATTCTGTTGGAATCTCAGCACCTTGAACAAAAAAGTAACTTCTTTAAGAAGCTAAATATAGGGACTCTGCCAAAACTATTGTTCTCATGCATGCTTTTGGAATGATTTGTATGAAAGGATATAAGTGGAAAATAACACTGGAATTGAAAAGCCAGATTATAACAGGAATATCTAGGAATGACGTAGTATTCTGACCACAAATCCTTCTTGGGGAGTGTGTGGATTTTCAGTTTTCACACAGTGTTTTTATGTATGTAATCCTCCATGGGAAATCACTCCAAAAACATGTAATTGAAGTGATATGCGTGGAGTGGGGCTGACTCTCAGACTTTGATAGCTGATAACTAAATATTATAGGCCAATACGTTCAGTTGCATTAATGGCTATTTTAAATAGAGGAAGCACTGAAAGCATACATACGCACATTCACAAAACCTAAGCAGAAGCTCTGAGCTTTTGATTAATTGAGGACAGTAAGGTGCTAGGCATTTAAACCACAGATGAGAGCTCTTCAGTAGAATTCCTCTCTACATCAAACCATCAGATGCCTCAACAAGGAGTGTAATTGCCTCCCTCACTCCTTAAGCTGCCAAAGCAAGAGATTTACATCTAAAGATCTACCCTCATTTTCCTAATTGAACCTTTGTTACATTCTCAAAGATTCCTCACATTTTTGCAAGCACAAATACTTTTTTTTTTTAAAGAAACCCTCATCTTGAAACATCCAACTAAATATGACCTAACTTGGAAAAGGAGATTACGTACAAAAGGTTGAATACGAAACTCAAAGCAAGTCATAGTTAAGGCATCTGTGTTACGTTCAAAGTGTTCTATTATATTTTGTGATTATTTGTTTCCACAGATACAGAAACAAAGTTTGAGATATTTAGGGTTTGAGTTTTAGTAGTAGTAATTAGGTGGTATTTAGGAGGTGCATATTTTACTTATTGTATAACTACTAGAATCAATATCACAGAATAATATTTACCACTGTTGCCTTTTGCTAAAAACAAGTCCTCTGCAAAATCAATAATTTGCCAACTCCAAACAATATCAAGACATCGGCTTACAAAATGAAAGTACAGAATGGGTCCTATATCCCTGTTTTCTCCTTTTTTTCTAACATAGCATTAGATGCTACAATTGACGTGTTACAAAAATAGACGTGTTTTTAGGCAGCTGATTTACTAGAAAGGCAAATATGCTTTCTTTGTTGGAATAAATGGATGAGAAATCCCCACTGTAAGCATGTCAAATTTATTTTTTTGGATTGCCCACTCCCCATCTCCTAGAATACAAGTGTTATTAATCATGTTAGGGATGGTGAATGGTAGGCAGAAACTGCTACAGCCCATAAGATTCCCATAGGTTCCATCATCCATCCTCCCTCAAAACAAGAATAGAAATCCCTTCAATTCCCAATTACTTTAATCTTTAGAAATTTGAACGATTATTGGGGAAAATTCCATTTGAAGATGCAGTAACAGAGGCATTTTCCAATGGTATCTGAACATCTTATAAAAATAACTGGAAAGATGCTTTGGTTTGGAAGAACAAATATTTGGAGTTCGGATTACTATTAAAAACTAGGCTTTTTAATGGCTCATTCAGCAACTACAGATTCTATACCATAGTGCTTATCCTAATGTAAACTCATTTCCCCCCCTTCATCTTCTTTATTTTACTTTTTAGAATATATTATGAACTAAGCTACAGGAAAAAGTAAATGTGGAACCCCAAAACCCCTTTTTTCTAAATAGGTCTCAAATATTTGAAGTACTCAATACTATATATATAGTGGAAGCCTGTTTTAAAATCTGCCAAATTATGCAACATAGGCAGAGTAACCAAACTCAGGGTGACTAAGATGCACTTATTGCCATGGTTAAAGAAAGGAACGTGATGTCCTCTAGCAGTAATAAATGGGCATAGTTGTAAGATACTGATTGTGTTACAACCAACTTGGAAAGCTCTGCTTTAGCTTAAAGTATCCTTCTGACAATTTGCAAAATATGTGGAACATTTCGATGAACACACACACTGTGGCATGCCATGACTGGCTTTTATCTACAGACATTACTGAAGAAGTGTGAACACCAAATGTGTTGTCTTAATAAGACATTGCTGGTGAAAGCATAAATATCTTCACAAGGGTTTTGTGCTGCTGTGGAAAAACCAGATAAACTCAACACAAAAGGCTGGGGGGGAAAGAACATGCCATGTATCAGTAAGCAAAAAAGCTTAATCTTCACAGAGGTCTCTGAAATCACAAGGTATCAAAATGCGTGCAAGGTTTTAAATAAACTGAGAGGGAAGGGGAACAAGGTCTTGCCAGCATTGTTTTTCTTGTGACTGAAATCCACCACTGAGAGAGAAAGGAAGCAGGGCCATGGTGTCTTCATAGTGTTGGCTCTCTTTTTAGGTTTTGGTTCTCCTCCAGTCTGGTGATCTTAGTTCCTATAAAAAGCAACAGAAAGTACAATAAGGATCATGGCCAAGAACATAACAGTACAAAGTAACTTGTTATAATGCTTAAGTATCAGCAACCTGATTTTGGTTTAAGGTAATATAGGGTTCCTTTTTTTCAAATATTAAGCTATTCTGAAGGAAAGGCTTGAACTGTAGGCACTCTTAAATGTTTTCCTTGAATGGTGTGTACTAAAATACATAGCTTGAGCAGATCCACAGCCACCCCTTCTTCCTAAAACAACTGAACTCAGGAGCAACTGGTTGTGCAACAGAAACTGGCTGTGTTGATCGCCAGTTGGCTGGCTCTTCTGAAATTACAAAGACACATCCACCTCCCTGGCCTGTAAGTGAGCTTCCCTTAATCAGCTCTAGATTTGGAGCCAGGTATGTGGGTCCACATTAGAGATGTGGGGGAGGAGAACAGAGTTCTATGAACAGTCTTGAAACTCACTCTATAATCTTGGGCAGGCAATTTAGTCTTAAACCTAACACACAGGATGGCTTGTTAGAATAAAAGAGATAATATCATGTAATGTTAGGAATAGTTGGATGATGAAATAAGATGGAAGCTCTACTTCCAAGAATGAGGAATTTAAATAATAATTAAAAAAAATTAATTAAGCTTGCACCTAATATGTAAAGAGGTATGCTGGGCCTTCAAAATTTGCTCTGTAGTGAAATTGCCCTGAATCTCAGACCCCAATTTGTGTATGCGGGTATGTGTCTGTGATGACTTAGTAATGGAGTTTAGATTGTACATGCTTTAGGCAAGCAGTGGGGAACTCAGGTATAGGGCTTGAATGGGTCCTTCAGACCTCTCTATCTGGCCACACCACCTTTTCAGCCACACCTCTCACTTGCCTTGCTTTGCATTCTAATAATTTTGGCCGGCTAGAATGTGTCCTAGGCTAATGGTTCACCCAGTTTTGCCTGAGACCACCCACCACTGGCACATGGCTCCTGAAAGTTTGCCCAGAAGGCAATGAAGTCCTTGGGTTGGAAAAGGTTCTCCACTCTTGCTTTAGAGTACTATTTCCATGCACAGAAAATGCAGGGCACCTTATTAATGGGTTCTAGTGACTGATAACAGCTTCTGACAGAGATTCTGGGTGACGCCACTGTGGCGATCACACAGGGTCCCCGGACATTTAACCGTCTATTGATCCCTGTGCCACCACTGTGCTCGCTTCCCCGCTGCCACCAACCAGTTACTCTCTGGTAAAACACTGAGTTCAGTCAGTTGTTAAAAGTGAACCAAAAAAAACAAGTTTATGTTACAAACATTAACAAGTTTATGGTTTCTCAGATATCTTAACTTTAGTTTATTTACCGGCCTATACCTTCCTAATACCTTCTGACTGATTAGCTCAACTGTTTGACTGACTCCTCTTAACAATTTTTTTAGTGGGTGCTGTTGGTGCCACCTTCAGTAGAATTAATTTGTGCCTTATGAAGTACATAGAATTGAAATAGGAAGTGGGGAAGTGCTTTCTTAATCACTATGGGTAAATTTCATCCTTTCAAACAAGCATTTGCTGATGCTAGTGTGCAGAACTAGCAGAAAATAGAGTTGGAGACTGATTATCGTATTTACTCAAATCTAATGCTCAACTTTTTTGGCCAAATTACATTGTGAAAATTAAGGTGCACATTAGATTTGATGGTGCATTATACTTGAGTAAATATGGTACTTTATTCTTATGGCGTAATTTAAAAAAATCCAACATTTTGCATTGCCAGAAGAGTGAGAAACCACTTGCCTGAGGGAGAGAATGAACCAATACAAAGTCTAGGAGACAAGACAATGGGTTTTACTCAGTGCACAAGTGTTATAGACACAATGTCCGTTCTTACATTATAGACCAGTCCTTGGTTTCACGGCAGTATTTTTAAAGCTATTTTAGAAAAGAATCCAGTTAATTTTTATTTTTTCTTCAGATCAGGAAAAATCAAAGTTTCTCTTAGAATCTTTGCAGATGGTGATATGGCCTCCGGTCACATCTTTGCTTATAACAGCAACTGCTGCAAAATCCAGTATTTGCTACCTCTGATTTCCCAAGAGCAAAGGAAGGCTTGCTTTCAGAGATCCTCAAAAATCCCTTTGACGTAGAACAACATACTGCCACAAAAATGCACTTTTAATTTTGAAACGCAAAAGGTTGTGTGGGTAGGCTTGATTTCTTCACAGTATATTTACAGAAAAAAATGAGCATGATTAGGATACAACTTAAGGGCTTAAGAATCAGTACAATCATGTTTTCGTCTTGTCCACAAATCCTGTGCCATATAGAGCTGCTTCTCTCATAAATCAGAGAACCATTTCTGACTTGAACAAAGAAGCCAAATAATAACTTTAAAATACTGTTGCTGCTAGTCTGAGGAGAACAGAAGTGAGACAAAGCTTTGATTTAAAATATTAATTATAGTTCAAGGCATGGGGTAAGATATCACTATTTCCAGAATATTTGTCCCAATTAAAAAAAATACTTAGGGCATGCTAGCTTCTTTTTGCATACACACCATGACTTTTAAGGGCAGTCCATTTGGAGGTACATTCTGAGAAAAAGGATGGGGCAGGGCTCCCACAGTGTCTTAGCATGCTGAACACACTCAAGGCTCAATGCACACAGCTGGCTTGATACCACTTTAGAATACTGGTTCCTCCAATCACATGGGTTGTTTTTTTAAAAGCAAAGCGATAACGAAGAGGATGCCCTGTTTCTCTGCATGCAAAGTGCCATTCCCAATTACCGGTAAATTCCATTGATAATATTAAACAATAGATACCACTCCCTCGAATGCATTGAACAAGTACTCTTTCCTTGCTTACATTTTTACTGAAATCATCTTTTGTGAATCAAGAATAAAAAGATTTTACGTTATTGACAAAACCATGTATATGGCAAACAAATTCATGCTAGTATTCTGCTACCCATGTTAATGACCTGGATCACCAATACCCATAATGCAACTTAATTCTGACCCACATGCCCTATGAACCAGATTTCTTTCTTTCTTTCTTTTTTTAAATTCAATTTTCTTAAAACCAACTGTCAGCATCATGTGATGGAAGAGATGAAAAATGAAAATGAGCAATCCTGCTGTGCAGGTGAGTGACCTGTGGGAGACAGCTCTGCCTGGTAGGATTTTTACACGTACCATCAGACACAGACCAATTGATTAGATCATCTTATTCTCGCCACCAACCAGGCTCAAGAGACTAATTAGAGAGAGTACTGCCTGCGCAGGCACCCCATTGACACCTAATTTGCTCAGCCAAAGCCTTTGGGGAGAATGTATTATCTCTGCAGCTGCACTTCATGCATTTCTGATTTGAGGCAGAAGCAAGAAGCACTTCATCACGCTTCTGAGCAAACTGAATGTAAGAAACTTTAAGTGCTAAATACAAGCAGACACAAATTAAACCTGGCCAGCCTCTCATAAATTCCCCTCCCCCTCCTGCTTATGCATATGCAACATGAATTATACCTACACCTAGATTATTCCTGTTTGTACATTTGTGTACATATATGATTTGATACATAGCAGACTGCAAATGAATGCACTATAAACATATTGCCTTGGTTTCTCACATTTTTCTTGTTTCTGGATTTAAAAGTAAATGCTATTGTGCTCAGTAAGACAAGGAGTGTTAGCTCAACTTTGCAATTTTTCCTCAGGCCAGGATCATTGCAGGCAGCTGCCTATTAGCCAAGTTTTTCTTCGTAGCTGTAGTAACGTTAACAGTGAGGTTGAATTAATGGATGTATTAGCGATGGTAATACCCATTCTAGTTTGATTTATAGCTATAAGGAATCTGTTCCTGTGCTAAACCATGCGTGCATTTTATTGAGCTCCATTGTTTATTAGGAATTAATAGAAAGCTACTATGGACACATTTCAATTGGAGTTTAATTTTAAGCAAACAGGTTCGGGCTTACTTTTTTCCCATTCTTCCTATTCGTAAACTAAAACAGAGATAATTTGTAAGGCTCAGTTTTGAATAAAAAATAGATACTGGGGAGAAAGTTACTAAGACTGATTATGATAGCGTTCCAGTGGGTAATAATTGAAGGAAGTGAATTATAGCTTTTCTTTTTCTTATTTTGCATGGGCACGTTTGGGAAAAATTGTGATCTCTTGACTTTCCAGTTAGTAGTTAGAAGTAGCACACTGCGTTAAGCTTATTTCCTGGGGAACTCTCTCTCCCTCCCTCCCTTTCTCTGTTAGAGGGAGGAGCTGGGAGAACCGTAGCAAAGAATATTCCCCCAGCAGCAGAGGCAAAAAAGAGGGAGGCCTATAAGGAAGAAGGAACAGCTATGTCAATTCCCAAATTGAGGTTGTATTAACTATTTAGCTATTTATTACATTTATATACTATCCTTTCCTTCCAAGGATCTCAGATAGACAGTTACACTGCTCTGTAACAGACAAATCTAGCTCTACAGTGACTGATTGTGGCTCTGGGTTTCAGACAGATTTGTCCAGCCCCAGGAGACAGTAGTGATTGAACCTGGAACCTACTTAATGCAGAACATGTGCTCTATCACTGTGATATAATATTTTCCTAATGAAAACCCATTATTTCCAAGGAAATAGTGGTATAGCGTGGGTTGGGGCAAATGTTGTGCCCCCCTGGTGGACTGGGCAGCTGGGATGGAGGCACATGTGAAGTCCGCATGGAGGGTGAATGGAACCTGCCTCCAACAGGCTCCTCAGCCACTGCGTCCATCCACCTGCCCACTAAAAAGCGCTTGCTGCCACGCCTCAGCTGCCAGGGCTTCATGCCTGCCATTGGGGCACCTGATTGTGCCCCCTCAAAAATGTGTGCCTGAGGCCATGGCCCCACTGCCCCCCACTACACCTCTGCTAGGAAAGCTGCTTAGGTAGATTTGCAAGTGGTCATGTTTTAGAGAGGAGTATATGTGAGCATGTTCTGAATCAAGGCACATTTCATTAACAGAGGAGAAATGAAAAGGTATAATAGATTCCTTCCTGGATATTTTCATATGCAGCCTTATATAAATGGCAATTAAAGTGGTTTGTGGGTTTTGTGTTCCACTAAGATTTTTTTAAACAGCCGGGCACTGCAGACCTTTTCCTAGAAAAAAATGAGGAACTCTAGTTTTGAAATTACACGGGATATTTAGTTTGGAGAAATAGCTCAAAAGTTGCAGAGGTAATATATTTTAGAAGTAGAGGGAAAGTACTAAAATAAAAGGCAAACAATTATTACATTTTGACATGCTCTAGTTACTAAAAAGTGCCAAAAGATTGAGACACCAGCATGCATTTGATAAGTAAAATCCCTAAACTTTTACATGGACCTAGGCCTACTTTGCATAATCAATTATTTTCCACCTTAGTGCTGAATGTAATGCATTTCAGTGTATGCTTTACCTGTTGTTCTATTATTAAAATACCCAAGTGAATTACATGCACCGAAGCTTAAAGAAATAAAATCTATTAATCCTAGTTATTTACTCCTGCCTGCACTTGCCTCAATAATAAAAATGGTAATTATCAACAGGGCATTAATACAGTATTTCTTCAATAGTATGTGGCATTTTTTCAAATTTGGTCTATGCCTACATTTTCTTAATTACTCCTCCATGATTAGTACCTAGATTCTTCATGCTTCTCACAGAGGTTACGGTTGGGGATCTGCATCCTAACTGCATTTTTAGGGCTATTTATCATAGCTATGAACTTTTTTGTGCAACTGTGAGTGAAAAGGGGAAAAAAGTGACTGCTCAGTTGGGTGAAGTGGGTACAAACGCCTTTTGCACCTGTACCATCCACATCACAACCCCATAGCTCCAGGCAGGAGGAAGATAGGTCATTGAGCACAATTCAGATGGATCATTCTGAAAACCCATGTTTTCTCAAAAGTACTATATTATGAATGGCAAATATACAACGATGAAAAAACTTGGGTAGTTCTTTAAAATACAGGTGCAGAAAGGCCCTTAAGAAAGTGTTCTTCTATCCGAAGACTTGATCTACAAAAAGCATATGAGACAGCCCTCCTGGCATTTTACACCTTCAGAATGCAGATGAGTGAACTGCAAGTTTGAATGCTTGCTCTCCCATAAAAAGAGGCCTCTCTAAACACAAACAGAACATCAAGAAGCAGGCTAGGTCTGGAATGCTACATGGACAGGGAAGATTTTAGCACTGCAAGCTAAAAAACTGAATTATTAAGTGGTGCAGTCCCAGGATGGCCACCATATGACAGCACTTACACTGGCACTGAAAAGTCCTTAAATTATATGTACAACTATACTTTTGCTGCAAATGATCAATGGAAACTAATACTGTATATAACTCTGGATATTAGCTATTAGAGTGACTGGAGGGCTTCATGGAATTGTTTACAGACAGGCTTTTCCAACTTTTAACATGGCAAATGAACACAGTACAGGACTTAAGGATAAGTTGAAGGAAAATCTAAGAGAACCAGCGTAGCTGGGAATGTCATAATCAAGAGTTATTTTCAAACAAGAAAACCCTAATTGTTGTTTATTATCAATATTTGTCCACAGCCCAGGTAGCCTTTTTTGCACTTTACTGAAATATTTTTGGATTGAAAATGGTAATACCAAATAGGAGCCAAAAATAATCATTTTCTTCTATTTTCTATCCAAAAGAAAGAATTCTTTTAAGACCAGCAATACATTTTCAATAAGACTGTAATACTGAGTTGGGAGAAGATTTTATTTTTAAAAAAAAACACAAAGGAATGCAATATGTCGGTTCCTACAGCACAAAATACTTCTTGTGGGTGGGGGGAAGAGATTACTTTTATGACCCACTTTTTATGTTCACTTGTTACTGTACTGTTTTATAGGATAGCTCATTGCAATTAAAATAATTACGGTAAATCAAATTCCTTAAAGTACTGGAGCCACTAACTATACACACACTATTAAATGGAATGAAAACCTCTCACGCTTAACTTTAGAGATATTCACTGTCAATGGAACCAAAACATAAGCTTATATAATAGGTATATAATACACTTCACAATTATCCATATACTACATGGAGCTAGAAAATCTTTGCCCATCTACACAAATGCTAGAGAAAATGAAAGAGATCAGGAAATTCTTATTGCAAAGCCTTTCAAGTGGAGGATGTGGCTTCCCAATCCTTAGTCAACCTCACTTTCAGAGATGTACACATAGCTCCTTGCTCCCATGCCACGAGCAGCTACCAACTTTGGACAGCAAACCACAATTGTTGTTTTGTGAGAGCTGCATTAAACTACTTGCTAAAGATAGCTATCGCTCTGTAAAACCCATACTCCTTTTCCCAGGAGCTGAGGGGAAACAAGAACAACATGACAGATCCTTGCTATGCAGCCTAATGCTGTTAACTTGTGATACATCATATGCATGTTATTGGGGGGAAACTTGAAGAAAGAATTCCAGAAACCTACTGTCAGGGGTTCAGGGACAGAGGCACAGGGTAGGCAGGAGATGGAGAGCGATGGGGATGAATCCCAGGACAGCGAGGAAGAGGATGACAATGACTCAAGAGATTCCATGAGTCTTTCCAGCGAATCAGAGGATTCCCAGAAGGGGGCACCAGTGGTCAAGGCCAGGGGAGCCCCAGGGGGGACGTGTCAGGAACAGGGGGCCAGCGGGGGATCCCAAAGTGGCAGCTGGGCATCAGGACCAGCCTCCCCGCCAGAGTGCAGCGAAGGGGGTGGAGGTTCCAGTGTATCAGGGGAGCAGCTCCGGCAGCAGAGAAGGGAGGGAGGTCGGAGCAAGCCACCCTCCCGGAAGGGGAGGGGAGTAGTGAAGGGAGTAGTGTAACTGTCAAAAGGAAGGTTAGAGGTTGGGCGCGCGCGCAGGTTCAAATGTAGAGGCGTGCGGAAGTACAGGGAGCCCGGAGGAGGGGCCAGGTCCCAAAGCCCGCAGGAGGGGGAGGAGCAGTCTGGAGATTCCGCGTCAGGGGAATCCAGGAGGGGCGAAACCCCAGGGGGCAGGAAGACCCTGCGGAAAAGGAAAGAGAGGAAGAGGTGGAGCAGCGCAGGCCTCTTAAACTGGTGCAGGGGAGGGACTGACTCAGAGGGGACTTCAACGGTCTAAGCGTAACAGACGTGGGGCTGCGCGCCTCGGATGTGAAGCAAACAATGAACTGCAATAAACACTTTTGTATATAAGAAGAGATTGGCGTTGGTCTTTTGTGAGCTGAGACCTGAGGCAGCCCTGACACCTACTTTGATAGGAACTCCATAGAAATGATACTTGAAAAAATACTAGCTATGGGAAAGGGTTAGTGTGAGGCCTTTGGGTAAGCTAATGAGGTAAACTAAGAACATGAAATTATATAAACATAGATGATGACACAGTTGGTATGAGTTAAGATAGCGGAAGCATAACCATTTGTGAACAGCTGAAAGTAAGAAATAGTAAACATGTTTAGGATGAAGTGTCTTTAGTAACAACATAGCAAAAACAACATTTAGTCAAAACAAGATAGTATCAAGAAATTTCAAAGTGTTGGAAAAACACAAGAGGGTCAGAAGTCTCCAATGAGACACATGGTTGGCTAACAAGATGAGAACCAGCCAAGGTGAGGAAGAATTGACCAGTGTGGCTGCCTGGTACAGAAAGGACTGTGATTTGTTTTGAATCATACATTAAATTTCAATTGTGAAATCCAATGTATAATGTAAACCAATAAGCCTAGAAAAGTATATGGAAGAATTTAGTTCTTTATGTCAATTGCTTTCTGTGGGCTTAAATATTTTGAGAAATATGATCTGGTCAAAACATGTATCAGATGCAAAAGAATGTAGGAACTGAAGTGGATAAAGGAAGGACACTAGAATGCTAGTTAATCCCTTGAGCAAGTCCTAAAGCCCTTATATGTAGAATATCTACAACATTGGGTTAAATGCATCAAGTGTAAACACCCAAAGACAAGAGACAGATTAAAAGGCTACATGGAAATCTGCTGGGGGTGGAGTGGGGGGCGGAATGGAGCCGTGCTGTTAAAATGACATCCAGCAGTTATATCTGTGACAGGCATGGGAATGTAGTTCATTCTGATATACAACAAACTGGACATTTCTGCAGTGTATTGTAATTATTTTTTCTTTAAGTCTCCTTTGAAATTGTGTAACAGTTTAAGCTTAAAAATGACACCCTATTTCAGTACTAAGGGAAGCATTTTTAGAAACAGTTTCTATATGTGTATTGTTAGGCTGCTAGCAATGTAAGAAGGCTCTAGAAGGCAAAGTATATGTTTGCAACAGGGGATATAACCCCAAGAGCCTTGTCAACAAGCCTCCTGTATAACTTGCACTACTATCTAACTTAATGAAATCATTACCCCATCTACTATTAAAATCGAACAAACATAGAAAATGCAGTCTCTTGACACTGTATTGGAAAGTGGGCCCTGTGGCGTATTTCACAGTATCATCTTAAATGACTTGAATGTCTAACCAGGTATTGAAAAACATTAATGCTTGCATTTTAAATAGTTCCAAATTTAATCTCCCTAGATGCCTTAAGAAATGTATCCTGTGATCAGTAAAGATGCTATGCAACATCACAAATTGTACATGCTATTGAGCCCAATAAGTTTGTCCAACCACTGTGCCAAACTGCACATAGCATTCATTAGGTGGCTCACTGTGCAGACACTGAAGTCCAGGCAAATTTCTGCTCCAAAATGTAAAATGCACATGTGCCATGGTATTTTGACAGTTATTTTACCAGTAATTGCTACCTTTGACTTTAATGGGGCAGGTAAACCTTAATAACCTTTGAATTGCTGCTCAGAACTTCATCAAACCAAAATTTTAAACCAATAAAAGTGTAGATTTCAGCACTTTTAAACTTACTGTAAATCCAACAATTTTCATTGGATCAGTTTGAAATTTTGTAGACCTCATCAGGTCGATCGTGTAATGTCAGGTTTCATGTTGATAGCTCATGAGATGCCATTATTATAAAGTATAGAATTTTAAGGCTTATAATGGTGGAAACGTTTTCACTACTCAACTAAAGAGGCACTCATGTGCCAATTTAACAGAATTGCCAGCTGGACAGAGGTAGAAAATATATTATCCATTTGCCTTAATTAAGGACATGAACACTTAACACCCTACACAGAGAGAGAGGTCCCCCACCCACCCAATTTTTTTTATTTTTGGAAACACATGGACAAAAAAATTAACAGCACTAAATTACAGTCTGTCAAACTGTCCAACAGAAAAAAGAGGCAACTATTTTGTAAGGTAAGGTAAGAATTTGAATAGAATATGATTTTAACCAGGAGACTTTCTTCTCCTGCTAAGAAACAAATGAATAAAAAAAGTCTTCGAGTGTATTTTTATTCATTCATTCATTCATTTTAGAAAAAGCAGTACCTCATGTTGTTGAGGTACTATTGAATATTTATTGAGATAAAAAAAACCTCAAGCAGTTAATATCTGAGCAGACGTAATGTGAGTGGGCAACAGAATAGTGACCTCTACACAAATGGGGAAGGTATATTATATTAATACCACGACAGCTGCGCAAAAAGGCAATAGTAGCTCAGCAGGAAAACATTAGCACATAACACTGGACTCTCAATAAGAGCAAGATGAACCTGACATTCAAGTCACCATGTTTTAACACATAACAAAGGTTTTTAAAGCAGTTTTCTTTTTGGTTAAAGTTGTGTTTTAATCCCCCCCCCAAAAAAAAACAACTGGAAAAAGGTTGTATTATTTGGATTAAAATTTAAAAACTGCACACAAGTTCAGTTGCTTTAGAAGTGTCTGAATCACCTCACCGACATATATGCCAGTAATGCCATAAGCCTATATTTGCGGCGCCCAATTAACTTCATTTAATAAAATTTATAAATTTCAGATTGGTTACATTTGGTGTGCAGCTTTAAGTTTATGATAATTTTCGTTATTTAAAAGTTCTTCAGGAAAACGAGCTAGCAATAGTGTGTATATATTTTTTAAGAGTCTACAACGTATCCTGCTGTTATATATTCAGTAGCTTATTTATTTTTAAAAGTAGTATCCATAGTAGTGCTTGCATGTTTATCTAAAAATCTTTACTTCAGGACAGAAATGTTCGTCTGTGAGGTTTCCTCTACACATGGCAGGCAGCTGTCAGAACCAGTGTGAAGGGTTAAAGGTCAGCACAGCTGCTCTGTTGAAACGGAGGGTTCCATCAACATCTCAGAATTCCTGTCGAGTGGGAGATGGGAGACCACAGATTAGAGTACACAGGAGTGCACATATAAGGTCACTTTGTGTCTATCAAAGTGATATCAAGCTGCCTAGTTGTACAATACACTTAACTGTGGTCCATGTTCAAAGAAAATAAAATGGATGTGTGGATAGCAGACCACCGTTTAACATAAAATTTCATACAATCCTTCAGATAGAAGGACCTAGATATTGTAAAGATATGTTGGCTGTGTGGACATAGGTGGCAGGCATGCTGACTGAGCAACCGATTTCATAAAAAAGTCTAGGTTAAGTGCTAACAACATCAAATAATTCTTCGTATGAGGGATTATGAGGAAGAAAGAGAAAAATGTCACAGAAAAACCAGGTGCTTTGTATGCAGCAAACCTATAAATCAATACATACATGATTTGTGTTCTATGGATTTTGCTTCAAAGCAGTGCTTAGTGTGTTGTTATTTAATTTTTCCAAAAAGAACTGTTAACATGCATTTGAAACCCACAGGTAAAAAAAGGTGGTTTGAGGATCGGGCAATTGGGAACAGAGAAGCAGAAGGCAGGGAAGGGTTAAGTGCTTCTTCCTAACTCCAAATCATAATATTTCAAAGTTGATTTTTCTGGGGACGACGACCCTAAAAGGTCTGTTAATGTGTGTATGTAACTGGTCTGCACATTAGACATGAGTACTTATTTTTATTTTGTGCACACAACATCTGAACAAAACACAGGTAGTAGAATCCTGTCCTCTGTCTTTGTCTGTCTCTCACAAACACACAATCACTATAATGCAACCTTCTATAATAGTTCTGACAGAAGGGCCCTATGGAAGTTTTCATACTTCTATTTGTGTGAAGCACACACACAACTTGCAAGTTATGGCACTACTTCAGATAAATAGAGTAGGTGACTCAGGCACATAATTTACAAATTATGTACAGACTAGCTGAACTGTTGCAGCAAACTTGGGCAATAGTTCTGGAAGCAACAGAACAATACATCTGTCTGATACTACTATGCATAAGATTTGCAACATAATACCACCTACTGCAATGTTGTTATAACATCTGTGGTTTTGTTGCGGCTGTTGGAATCAAGCTGCACAGGGATCACTGATGAGTGATCGCAAAAACGCTCTTCTTTTGTCCCTCAAACAGCAGGGATCAAATAACTGTTTCTCAGCTGCTGTTCTTTTAAACTAAAACATCTTCACTCTATGTATATCTATGGCAGGTTGGTATCTGTTTCCTCACAAATGTTTTGTTTTGTTTTGAGACCACCAACCTCGGATCACTAGGTGGTTTTGAGACTAGAAAAGTTCCGTCTTTTTCCCCCTTTTCTTTTTTTTTAAAGACTTGACTCCTTTAGGTATCTAAGAATTTGTGTTCATTGGCCCCATTCTGTTTGTCTTCCATAAAGACTGTGCCCCAAATGTAAGTAATTTAGAAATATCAAAAGAGGATCGTTAGCTAGCTTCAGGTAAACAAACTATAGTTTCATATTCCTTGAGTCTCACAAATTCTACTGAGAAGTGTAGGACTTCTGGGTTTTTAGTGTAGTGAATGCCTTTTAAAAAGATGCACTGAGCCATAAGTACGGTAAGTTGTTTTTTTGGGGGGCGGTCACTTGCATTGTTTAATAAATGATTGTGTCAATAACTTCTGCAAGAGGTTATGCAGTGCTACAATAGGTCCTCTATCACGGTTCTCATATTTCTGCTTGTACAACAGGCTTTTGCACAAGTGGGAAAGCTTCTTACTTTTGAGGAATGCTCTAGGGAAGGGGTGGGGGGGCATCAAACCTGGGGACCAGATGCAGCCCTCCAGGTCTCTCTATATGACTCTTGGAATTCTCCCTAGGCTACATCCCATCCCTGAGTATCTTTGCCTTGAATTCTGATAATGCCTCTTGCTCATCAGGATGGAGGCTACAGAGGGGTTTGTTAGTGTGTGTGAAAGCTTGCCTACTGTACAAAAGCAAAAATTATATTAATTGGCTGGTTCACTTTGACCTCTGACCTCACACAAAGCTGGCATGTGGTCCTTGAAAGTTTGGCCAAAAAGGAGTACAGCCCCATGCTGAAAACTGTTATCCACCCATGATCTAAGAAAACGTTAAACAGATTTGCTGTTAAGTGGGAGATGCCATCTATATACAGATTTTGTATCCAAAGATTCCTTCTATTTGCAGGTTTGTATTCAACCTGCAAAAGTAATGAAGACAAATGGAAGAGATTTGGCATTTATCTTCCTAAGTCATATTTAATAATGTTTTTTGAAAATCTGCACAAAGCAATGCATTCGTATTTAATTAATACCACACCTTCCTTCTACAACGAAACTCAAAGACAGCATACATAGGGTTCCCACATGATCACCCATATAGAAGTACTGACCAGACCAGCTTAAATCCAAAAGATTTGACATATTGTGCATTGAGATAGTGCAGTAGCAATATCTCAGAATCAGTTTTGGTTTACAGAACCTTCACATGTGTAAAACTGAAGGATTTATGGATCAATTATGTGTTTATCAGACATACTTAGTGGCTATTATAGTTCTGTTTTAATTCCTGCCGTTCTGTTTTTTGTTTGTTGCCTTTATTTTAATGCTTTCTATTATATATTTTATTGTTTGCTGACGTTTTCTAAATCTGCAGCTTCAAGCCACCTTTGAATACTTAGGTAAAGAGAATAACAAATATTTAAACAAACAAATATTTTAAAGCAAACAGGCAAAAAACATTCAAGAAAGGGCTCATAATGAAAGTTCAGGGTAAGAAAAGGTTAGAGTTCAATTAATAAATATAGTACTTGACGTTAGGCAGGTACAAGCAGCTCTGGACAAGACCACCAGCTGACCATAAATAGTCTTTTTCTGCCTTCCCCCTCCAGGGGCTATAGGAGACCAATGAAACCATGACAGCCAAACTAGTATAATTACTTAATCAAAGCTGTTTAAATAAACACAAGTCAGCAGAAAAGTTTAATTTAGTGACTGAATTGGGAGACACGTGGCTTTCTAAAGAATGAAACACCCATGGCCCATGCTTTATAGCTGCTAGTGTCCAAAAGGATTACAGAAAACTGTAACAGCAGAGGTATGTAGTTTAGTTTTGAAACCTGTCCATTTTCACCAATCTAACCCCACTAAAGTTGCCTCCAAAGCTTTGAAGAAAGGAGTCTCCAAGGATCTGAATTACTTGAGATAAAACAGTGTGATAAGTTAGAGAGAAATGCTGGGGCCTGCGATAATTATGATCTCAAAACAATTCACATTATACTCTCAGTGCAGATTTGCTTTGCAATCTATTGATAAATATATGCTATAATAAGCATAGTTTAAGTTTTCAATGCTTTAGTTCAGGGGTAGGCAAAGAGAAATTTGAGTTTTCCGGTTTTTAATACTATCAGGAAGGAACAGCCTTGATTATTGGAACCTCTTGCATACAGACAAGTGACTACTTGCATATGGACAGTAAGGAAAGGTGCTTTCTAGAACTTCCAGTTCATACCTTGGTTTCAAACACATTTCTCACTTGTAAGTCAACTCCCATTGAAAATGGAATTAGCTCACTACTTTTTTAGAGTACAGAACAAAGTTTTATCATGAGAATTGAGGTACATACCTTATGCTAGGGGAATGTATTTCTGAGGTAAAACTAAAAGGAAAACAGTCTTCCCAAGTTAGGTAACTCAGTGCCCTCTTATTTTAAGACAGAGGAACCTGGCTGGGGGACAGAAGTTGCTTGAGTGTTTTGTTAGGGTTTTCTTCTAATGTCACAGGGCTTGCTTAGCAGTTCTCTCAACGTTTTGCCTTCTGCTACAGGGATGATATGGAAATTGTGGAACATCACTTCCCTGGGGGTCATTTGCAAATTGTTCATCTAACGACCAGGAGAAAGAACTATCCCATTTTAAATATTTCTAAGTATTGATTGAAATTTGAGATTTGGAAGAATGTGATCAGCAGCTATCTCTCATTGTGGTCTTGAATCAACTTACGCCCTGTAGAAAGGTTTGTACCCATAGAGTTAAATATAGGATGAATTTGGTCAAGTGGAAGTTACTTCAGTGTATCAAACTCTACAGCTGGGATTTCATACATTCAAGCATCAAGGTCCTTTGATAAGAAATGTTGCCACAGCAGCTTATAAAAGGGGCGGGGCAATCAGTAAAGGAACAGAGCAGCAGGCTGACTTCTCAAGTATCTAGGATGCAGTAAACTTACACAAATGTAAAGCATGAAAGAAAAATTTAAGAAGTAAATAAAAAGCACCATATAATTCCTTAAGGAGTGCATTTTTGTGGCAAAGAATGCATTGATTACTATTACCTCATATTGCTGTCTTCCTTTTTAGTAAATGCAGTGATATGATTCTAAAGTAAATTTTGAAGTGGGAAGTGAGAAGACAACAGGAATTCCTTATGAATAGGAATTATAAGGCAACAACAGAATAAAAGCAAAAATGTTACCTAGTTCCACAAAATTAAGGAAAATGTATCAGCTATGATGAATTTAATGCACAGCAGGAGAAAGATTACCGTATTGGCCCAAATATAAGCCACATCTTTAGAATTCAACAGGGGGAAAGAAAAAAAGACAATACCTGAATATAAGCCGCTCTCTCAAAATTCCGCAGGCACTCACACCTGTTCCGTTTTACCGTATGTCTGTTTCAGCAGAGATATCATAAAAGCCAATTTTTGTAAGGTCGCTTTTCACGGTCGGAATTTGGGGAAAAAATGAGGCCTATACAGTGGTACCTCGGGTTACAGACACTTCAGGTTACAGACTCCGCTAACCCAGAAATAGTACCTTGGGTTAAGAACTTTGCTTCAGGATGAAAACAGAAATTGCGCGGCGGTGGTAGGAGGCCCCATTAGCTAAAGTGGTACCTCAGGTTAAGAACGGACCAAATTAAGTTCTTAACCCGAGGTACCACTGTATTCAGGCCAATACGGTATATGAAAAGACTGTACAATTTAGTCTATATTACTTAAAGACAGATCTGTATATGAAGTATTTGAATAATAAGTGCTAATGAAATGCATAGAGAAACCTTGAAGCTAAAAACTGCAAAACAACTTAATTAACCACTATGACACTTTTTTTGACACCGATAGAAATAGCCTATTACTTCAACTATCCTCTATGTTTAATTTAATAGTAGATGCCAGTTGCATCATCCAGTTATATTACAGTATATAATTCAGGAATTGGAAGGATGGATGATTTAAGTTTGTGAAATCCTTTCAAACATTGCAAATAAACAATATTTCTCTTGGATTTAAATGACAAAAGCAGATAACTAACTGAAATCTTCCCAGATATGGATTTTTCAGCTGAAAACGCCATGTGCTTTTAAAGAGGTGGTGGTAGAGGAAAGAAGACTAAAGAATACAAAGAAAGGCTGGAAACACTGGAAATTTGAAACCTGGTAGCAGGTCTGAGGCTAAGAGATATGTTCCGAATCAGCAAATTTTGCCTAAAATGGGAAGGCTGAGTCACAATACCTCCAGAGAGCATGTCTGTATTCAGCCTGAGAAAAGCTGAACTATGGAATTCCCTGCCACAATGAAATTTAGCAATGAATCTAACAATTTCCCAAGAATTATTAACTGTCAATATAAAAGGATATCAGTAATTAGCAACTGATTACGCCAATTTCCTCCTATATACATTACTGGCTCTACCCCTCCACCACCATATTATGATTCATGGGCCTCAGAAATGTTTAGCCCTGTCACGCAAGCCTGGGGCTTAGAAAGTTTGAGAGGCCCTTGACTATCAAGCTATTTGGGTAATTAAAAGGAATGCCTTTTTCTTTTCAAATACAGTGGTACCTCGCAAGACGAATGCCTCTCAAGACGAAAAACTCGCAAGACGAAAGAGTTTTTCGTTTTTTGAGTTGCTTCGCGAGACGAATTTCCCTATGGGCTTGCTTCGCAAGACAGAAACGTCTTGCAAGTTTGTTTCCTTTTTCTTAAAACCGTTACAGTAATACAGGGTGCATTGCTTGAAGAGGTGCAGTTGCGACTTGACTTCGGGGAGCAACTCATAGCACACGGTGTGGTAGCCTTTTTTGAGGTTTTTGAAGATTTTTTTGAAAAAATTGAAACCGTGCTTCGCAAGACGAAAAAACTCGCAAGACGAAAAAACTTGCAGAACGAATTAATTTCGTCTTGCGAGGCACCACTGTATAAAGCTATATCAGTAGAGTAGTACATGCATGCATTTGGTTACGCCAGGTTCTATCATGGATCATTACCTCAACCTATTACCACAAAGTATGTAGAAGCAGCTTTTTTATATTTCATGCCTATTTTGAAAGACAAGCTATTCCAGAACAGCTGTGCAAGGGTTAAGTATGTACACAGCGAAATGGGAGGAGAATGTTGTAATTTTGGTGGGGATTTATGAATTGCTTAGGCCAGTCAGCATCTTGTGCACAACAGACTCTGTCTAAATCTATTCCATACCTGCTGGGCAGAGACAATTCCCCTCACACTTGGAACCTTGAAGTCCTTTAAGCAGTCTGTTCTGTAACCTTGGCAGCTGGGCCTTACACAATCCTTCATCTTTTGCAACTGGGCTTCACTAAATGAAACTATGGCAGCTTGTTAGCCAACAACTGAGCATGAAATCACTACACTGCAGACCCCTGTTCTGCGAGTCAATCATTTTTTCTCCCATTACACATTTGTATGCTAAGGTCAAGGAAAGGAACCAAAAATGGAAGGTATGGAATAAAATGAATACAAAAGATTGTGAAAGGCAGGAAAATCTATTTGAAGATGTAGATTTAATGCTGTATTAGGAAGTTTGTTAATGGATTAAAAATACATTTGAAAGCGGTTAAAGATGTAAAAGGGCTTATTGTTCAGCACTGTATTTGAAGCATTCTAATTCTTGTACAATCAGTCGAGAAGAATTACATATGAGTTACTAGTGTATTCAGCATCCTAAAATCTGAATATGTTATTATGAACACATGTATTACTGGGTAAACTTCAGAAGGTCAAACTACATGTTATATTAAACATGTTCTTTTAAGCACATGCTTGCAATTAGCTACCTCCCCACCCAACTCTGCACTGATTTCCCACTGAAGGTTGCCTCTGATGCCATCTTTCTTCCCCAGTAAAGATGGATGGCCACTACTGGACTAAAATTTGCTAAGATCTCAGGCTTATTGTGAATTGCTGCTGTTTGAAACACTATTTTACTGTTTTGTTTTTTTAAGCTTGTGACTACTTTGGGATCTCTACTGATGAATGGTGTTTTAGAAGTAAAATTGATCAATATCCGCTGCAAAGAGTGGCAAGAGAGGATATGGGCAGGAAAAAAATGGGATAACATCGCTCGTCTCCCTCAATGCTCTAGATGCAATTGGTAGCCCCCAGTGGATGGCTTTTTGTATTAGTAGCTGAAACACCAACTGAAGAGAAGGCAACTAGCTTGTCAGAAAGGGCAAGCTAACAGTGCTTTTGTAAATTAATATATGTTTTTAAAAGTCCAAAGAATCGGGCCATTCCAGGATCATGGGAAGTCACACCCGAATGCAAACCTATTGATAGTTATGTTCTCCAGCTCTAGGGTCCCAAGGTTTGATGCAGGCGCAAGGGATTTTTGCATGAGTCTGAAGTACAGCAGGCAGAGGGCACTGGTCTGTTAAACACATAAGGGCAGAAATCCCTTACCTGTATTTATATCAGCTCTGGGCAGTCCAGGTGATCCATGCTGCCTGCCAATTGCAGGGACTAATGTTACAAATCTCATTCCTTTCTGTGTATGTACAAGGCTGTGCAGGAGAAACAGACACAGGCAGCTCACAGAGCAAGACTCAGCCATAGACCTTGAGGTTCTTGCTTGTTAACACAAACACCTCTATGAACATGCATCAACATTCAAATTCTGCAGAGAAGTAACACTAAAGTTTGAGGTGGGATAATTCACAGACAATATCTGAAAGGCATAGTCTATTGCTCGGTGTGCAGCAGAGCATTCCAGGTTTGGGAGTTCAAAAGAAAAAATATGTCGTGAAGTGGGATAGATTAATTTTATTCATAGCTATTGGCTACTTGCATGAGAAATATGCAGCCTGTCCCGAGTTTCAAGGAGCAAGTGCCTATAGCAACCATGTTCATAGTAATATACATCCAGCATAGGTGGTCAGACTTAACCTACATTCATGCAAGGACTGCATGGGGGGCAGGGAGAACCCTTAGATGCATGCAAGGCTACATTTCAGAGAAGAACTGAGCTTTACGACAGACATATTTTAAACTGCTGTGCTTGCAAATGAAGCAGACAGGCCCTAACATGATCAAGAACACCACATGCTCCATGTCCCAATTTCACATTCTTTTTGTAGCAACTATGCAACAATATTTCTTAGGGCCCTAATAAGCTTGAATTCTGAAGTAAATTTGATGGGGGGATTCAATGTTGAAATATACTATAAATTTACTTGCTTGGACCCTTTTTAGTATTTAAAAATCACTACACAAACATATATATGGTTCAGTTTCAGAAAACATCTACCGTTTCCAACAGAGGGTGATATACTGAATACTGATACCGAAGCAACCCATAGCAAAGTCAAACAAGATATCACACACAAATGAAATGATGCAACCATGAGTTAAGGAATGGAGGGAGATCGAAAAGGCAACTGCGGTGCAGGGCGAGGAGGTGGGTCTGCTTTAAGCCAGGTGAGGGGACCTCAGTGAAGACTCCTTCAGTGAGGACTCCTTTAGGAGTCCCTATCAGCTCCACCCTTCTGAATCCCTGCTTCCACACCTGCCTATAATTGGCTAATTTTGCAGACGGGCCAATTTGAATTCCCAAAGCCAATGGGAGAAGTTGTTATGTCTTCTGTTGGCTGTTGGAGCCTGGCAAGGAGAGGCTAGGTGATGGCGGCATGGATATGCCGGGCTGTAACTGCCATGCCACTTTTAGGTAAGGTCAACACAATTAATTCAGGACATAAGTACAAAATAAGGAATGGGATGAAATGAAATTCCAGTGAAAACAATGTAGTGTATATATAACAAAGAGGGGGGGAAGGTAGTTAGCACCCCAAAGTAATGGGCCATCCACCCAATAATACATTTAAAAGGATCTGCTTAAAGGAAGACTAGGGGAATGGTCATTCTGTCTACTAATGTCACTGTTAACCATTCTGTGCAAGAGCAACAGGACCCTGCTGGCAACGTATACACTCCATTTTCTCTTTTGGGTTAAAGCCAAATGTTGCCAAATCCAGAGAGATGGCATCAGAAACCCAGGCTGCTTCCCACCATTTCAGAGCAAAAATAATGACAAAGCTGTCCTACACAATTAGCCATTCTCGCCCTCTCTCATGCTTCTCTGATTGAATTAGCTACATACTTGTATGGTTCAGCAGTTCTCCCTCTTAATTTCAGTCCAGCAGTGTTTTTGCTCAAGGATGGCATATCAGTCAAGCAGGTATTAATCAACACAAACTACAAATGAAACCAGTGACCCTGTTCGCATGCAGTGCTAAGCCAAACCATGGCTTACAGTTCATGATTTGCCAGACTTGTTTCAGATGACAGGGCCAAGCCAAACCATGGTTTAGCTCACTGCAGCACAGCAGCAGCAGGACCAGACAAGAAGCAAAGCAGTTGTGGTTTCCTCTCCAGAACCCACATGCTTACACTAAGTCAAGGTCTGGCTTAGCATTATGCGCAAACTGAGCTAGTGTCAGTACTATTAGAAGGATAAAAACTGGTGGAAGGATATTTCTTCTTTATGATAGCTATACATCTACAGAGCCTCCCCACCCCCGTATAAGAAAATAGGGTTTCTTTAAGATGCAAGGTTACTGAGAACTTACCAAGAAAAAATGCTACATCTGCTCTTTTCTCCCTGTTTAAGTGTTCAATATAATTACAGCAAAGGGCTTGTCTTTTTTGGTATCCAGGAGGAAAAACAATCTTTACAAAAATAGAAAATTACATTAGAAAAAAGCCTCTGGGTATCTAATACTGATTAGAGTATCAACCCCTCTACCCCAGCTGAACATTTCTATTTACTGTACTTGGCTTTTCTCTTTCCAGTGATTTTGCTTCACATAATATAGAAATGTAACAAGCTGCTCATGATACCTGCTCATGATCAACTAATATAGCACTATAGGAAAGTTGTGAGAGCTCCGATCCAGATCAGAACTGCAGCATGAGGGTGTTCAACCTATCTCCCTCTCGCATCCTTCTCCTGATGCAAGTCTGTGAGAGACATGATCTTCCCCTTTAGGAAAACCTATGTGTACCTTAAAAAGGTTACACAGGACCAGTAACACCACGCATACCTAAATAGGTCATTGAAGCTCAGACATCACAAACAAGACTTGGAGATGGGACAACCTTCCAATCAGGCTGCCTGACACGTTTAGAAGCAGATATTTAAATTTTCATAACTAGACCAAGGCTGCAATCAAATGCCATTACGCACTGCTTGGAGGCCTAGAGGAATAGTCAGTCAGTCAGTCACTAGAGGAATATAGATTTGCTGCACCAAAATTACAGCTCCAATATGCTGTGCCTAGAAGTTTACATAATGCTATAGTCCTATCACTTGAGCTTGTGTGGGCCAGAATACTGAAGAACTACTTCCAAAGGGCAATAACCATCATAGGTGATGCATTCACTACACCAGGTTATCAGAATGCTCACTGGCATGAAAGGTAGTATTGGGTCAGGAAGAAGCATTACTTCCCATCTTCTTGCCTTCCAGCTTGGAGGATCCGGTGAAGTGTTAGCACACAAAGGAATGGCTACCTGTATGATTGTCAGGAACTACTCCTGAAAAGCAGTGTCACTCTAGCATCTCAGGGACAAATTTTCCAGACTGATCTTTCCCAGGCTGGTCATTGGCTACTAATGGGCAAGACAGAATATAAGAGGATTTCCTGACTCAGTGGTGATTTAGTCAAGCAACAAGTCCTATCTAAGCTCTAGTGTGACTTCTGTTTCTTGCCTTGTTCTTTATGACTCTGGGCTTGTCCACTGGCCCTGCCTTTTGGTTTGCCTCCCAATCCAGACTGCTTCTTGATGCCAACTCCTGTCATATTCTACCAGTTCTGCCTTCTGGTTTGCCATCTTTTCAAATTGTTCTTCAGCCCTAACTCTCAGGTCTGGGCTCCTAACTCACTCTAGCCTGATTCCCACAGCCTAGCATGGACAGTGATTCACAAACTGTTCATATAACCAACTACTTGCACACTTACAGGTGTTGGGCACATCTACACATTCTGTTGCTCACTTTTAAGGTAGAAATATGGTTCCTCCCCCCATGGTATCAAAAATCATCTTGACATAATAGGACATGAATAGTAAGTTTCTTAATAATAGCTTTCATAGAATCATAGAGTTGGAAGAGACCACAAGGGCCATCGAGTCCAACCCCCTGCCAAGCAGGAAACACCATCAGAGCACTCCTGACATATGGTTGTCAAGCCTCTGCTTAAAAGACTCCACCACACTCCTTGGCAGCAAATTCCACTGTCGAACAGCTCTTACTGTCAGGAAGTTCTTCCTAATGTTTAGGTGGAATCTTCTTTCTTGTAGTTTGGATCCATTGCTCCGTGTCCGCTTCTCTGGAGCAGCAGAAAACAACCTTTCTCCCTCCTCTATGTGACATCCTTTTATATATTTGAACATGGCTATCATATCACCCCTTAACCTCCTCTTCTCCAGGCTAAACATGCCCAGCTCCCTTAGCCGTTCCTCATAAGGCATCGTTTCCAGGCCTTTGACCATTTTGGTTGCCCTCCTCTGGACATGTTCCAGTTTGTCAGTGTCCTTCTTGAATTGTGGTGCCCAGAACTGGACACAGTACTCCAGGTGAGGTCTGACCAGAGCAGAATACAGTGGCACTATTACTTCCCTTGATCTAGATGCTATACTCCTATTGATGCAGCCCAGAATTGCATTGGCTTTTTAGCTGTCGCGTCACACTGTTGGCTCATGTCAAGTTTGTGGTCAACCAAGACTCCTAGATCCTTTTCACATGTACTGCTCTCAAGCCAGGTGTCACCCATCTTGTATTTGTGCCTCTCATTTTTTTGCCCAAGTGCAATACTTTACATTTCTCCCTGTTAAAATTCATCTTGTTTGTTTTGGCCCAGTTCTCTAATCTGTCAAGGTCGTTTTGAAGTGTGATCCTGTCCTCTGGGGTGTTAGCCACCCCTCCCAGTTTGGTGTCATCTGCAAATTTGATCAGGATGCCCTTGAGTCCATCATCCAAGTCGTTGATAAAGATGTTGAATAAGACCGGGCCCAAGACAGAACCCTGTGGCACCCCACTAGTCACTCTTCTCCAGGATGAAGAGGAACCATTGATGAGCACCCTTTGGGTTCGGTCAGTCAGCCAGTTACAAATCCACTGAGTGGTAGCATAGTCAAGACCGCATTTTACCAGCTTCTTTACAAGAATATCATGGGGCACCTTGTCAAATGCCTTGCTGAAATCAAGGTAGGCTACATCCACTGCATTCCCTTCATCTACCAGGCTTGTAATTCTGTCAAAAACGAGATCAGGTTAGTCTGACATGACTTATTTTTCAGAAATCCATGCTGACTATTGGTGATCACAGCATTCCTTTCTAGGTGCTCACAGACTGTTTGCTTAATGATCTGCTCCAGAATCTTCCCTGGTATTGATGTCAGACTGACTGGGCGGTAATTATTTGGGTCCTCTCTTTTCCCCTTTTTGAAAATAGGGACAACATTTGCCCTCCTCCAGTCTGCCGGGACTTCGCCTGTTCTCCAGGAATTCTCAAAGATGACTGCCAGTGGTTCTGAGATCACATCTGCCAGTTCTTTTAATACTCTTGGATGCAGTTCATCTGGCCCTGGAGACTTGAATACATCTAAACTAGCCAAGTATTCTTGTACTATCTCCTTAGTTATTCTGGGCTGTGTTTCCTTTGCTGAATCATTTGCTCCAAATTCTTCAGGTCGGGCATTGTTTTCTTTATCGGAGAAGACTGAGGCAAAGAAGGCATTGAGGAGTTCAGCCCTTTCTGTGTCCCCTGTTTGCATTTCACCATCTTCTCCTCTGAGTGACCCCACTGTTTCTTTGTTCTTCCTTTTGCTACGAACATACCCATAAAAGCCTTTTTTGTTGCTTTTAACCTCTCTAGCAAGTGTTCAATATAATTACAGCAAAGGGCTTGTCTTTTTTGGTATCCAGGAGGAAAAACAATCTTTACAAAAATAGAAAATTACATTAGAAAAAAGCCTCTGGGTATCTAATTAGCTTTATTGTACTGTTTTTCAAAAAACACACAATAAAATAAGTTTTCAAAAATGAAGTTGTGTATCTGTGGGTAGCAAATGGAGCTGCATATCTGGAGAGGTAGTGAGTTTTGCTTTTCTTATAAACTGGCAAGGCATCAATACTTTTAGCACTTTTGCTTTAAAATGAATCATTGCCTGGTATGCCTATGTAAAGAGTCACTATTCCTGTCCTTCATTGCCATTAAAAACACAGTCATTATTTTTTTTCATCTTAAAGTCTAGCTTCTGAACAAGTGTAGGATTTTTGCTTAAATGATGCCAAGTTAAAAAAAAATACCAGTTGCAACTACAATTTTAAAATAATGACCTCTTACTATTTTGTCAGGGGAGAGCTTAAATAAATATTTTGTATGTTTGTTTTTTAATTACTCCTTTCTGAGCTTTCACCATGTATATATAATCAACATTTGGAAAATTTAACTGCAGCTGGAAAAGGATGTTGTAATTCTTGAAAGTAAATTAAATAAAAATAAAAATAAAGAAACACAAGAAAGAATAAAGCCTTCATAGAGAGTTTCAGCAATTATATCTCCACAGCTACAGTATAACCCAAAACTTTGAAGCAGCTTTGATTGCTGAACCATGGTTGAAGGGAATAATTCGGCTTTCACTAAGAAAACAAGCACATTCATTCTTACCACAATGGAGAGAGGCAGTTTTAATTAAACCTTATCAAAAGATGAATAAAGACTAAACTCAATAACCATTCCACAGGACTCTATTTTCATCTGTTTAGCTGAAGCTTGCCATGTTCCTGCAATAATTAACCACTGTCCGAGGAATGCTGGAGTTGTGTTAATGTTAGTAAAGATTTAATTAGTTCAATTATCTAGAGAGTATTCAAGGCTCAGCACAGCACTAATTTCTTCAGGCTTTATATATACCTCAAATCAAAATATATAAAACTGAAATGTAAGTGAACAAAAGAAGCCCCCTATTTCACTTTAACTATTGAAACACTGCATATTTAATCGTTTTATTACCATATCTTTCAAAAGACTCAACCTAATGCACGTGAACTATTTATCATCATCTTGGACACTGAAAAAGTAAGGTTTTGACTGGTTAAGTACAAAAATGGGAAAATATAGGAGAGGCTGTAGCTCCTCTGCCATTTTCTCCTCTTGTCGCTTACATATTTTACTTCTTTCATAGAAAATGAAGCATTTAGAAAGCATTGAAAGCACAGTGACACAGACAACTGTTTCAATCTGTCAGACAGCATGGACAGACAGTAGGGATCATGTCAGAAAATAGAATGGCCCCCAGCGGTTTGACCTTCCTGGTGGGAAAGAGAACACAGTGGTGTGCTTGACAAGCTCAGCAACAAAAGAAGTATATTTAGTCCCCCCATATTCTGACATGCTTCTCACAGTAAAAATGTGCTTAGGGATGAGGGGAAAGTTCATCTCATCTAGCAAGGGATAATTTCTAAACAGTGATTAACACCACCATCCAATACATGCCTACTCAGAAGGTAGTCCCACTGAATTCTATGGAACTTATTCTAGGTAAATATGTCTAGGTTTCTAGCCCTGCACAAAAAAAAATAATGAAGAAAACCTCAACAGTTTTTAAGGATCATTCAAACCATAGATGCTAGAGTCTAACTACTTTTTCAAACATTTAATATAACTTCATCCACAAGCTTTCTCCAAACCATTAAAACAGATGTTTCAAGTTGGGTCATTTTGGCATGCCATCCCATCCCCCTTGAGAACCAACTATTTTGTATCTGTCTTCTGAATACTAGCTTGCATGTGCTGATTTACAAGAGGGCATTCTCTTTATTGCTGGGGTATATAGAAAACAATTTTGTAGAACCCCCTCTGAAAATTCAGGCAATACAGATCAAACATTATTTGGGTTTTTATTGACATTCTCATTAGATTTATGAACCCTATTTCCTGACACAAGATCCCTACTGAATCGATATATTTTATCCACGTAATGGAGCAACCAGTTTGTAGCCATATTTTTTAACTACTCTCTGCAAAAAAACTAATCTATATTAAGTGTACTTACTAGCTGCTGGAAACAAACACAGATGTTTAACATCTCCCCAAATGTATGTTGTATTTGTTATTACGCTGACTTATGTATTAAGCATTATTACATAAATATAAATGTTTATTATAAATCCACATAAATACTAGATAACAGCTTAATAATGTGTTTAACGCTAGTACCAAACAAACAAGTTTTAAAATCTTAGTTACAGTATAGTTTATGGAGAGAGGGAGTGCTTTGTGTCCAGTTCAAGGGAAGTAATAGCCCTGCTCTATTCTGCCTTGGTCAGACCACAACTAGAGTACTATGTCCAGTTCAATTTAAGAAGGATATTAACAAGCTGGAACATAGGCAGAGAGGGTGGCCAAGGTGATAAAGGGTCTGGAAACCAAGCATATGATAGCAATCTTCAAATATCCAAATGGCTGTCACAGGGAAAGATAGAGCAAGCTTGTTTTTTCCTGCTCCAGAGGGTAGAATCCAAACCCAATGGATTCAAGAAAGGAGATTCTGACTAAGCATCAGGAATAACTTTCTGACACTAAGAACTGTGGAACGACCTCCCTTGGAAGGTGGTGACTTTCCTTTATTGGAGGTTTTTAAGCAGAGATTGAATGGTCACTTATAATGGATGCTTTAGTTGAGATTCAAGCATTGCAGGGGGTTGGACTAGATGGACTTTGGGGTCCCTTCCAACTCTAAAATTCTATGATTTTATGATATGCAAGAAGTACAGTCTTTGCTTACAGGTATCTCTACATACATACACCTCTTGCATTTCAAGCCTTTTTTTTGTCTCACTGTTTGCAATATTGCCTTCATTCAAGGATAATACAAAGTATCTGATGGAGAGGGCCACAGACTATAAAAATTTAGACCATTAAGACTATTTGCAGTTTTTGTGGTACATGTGGGGGAAGGATCTGAGTTATACAGTGGTACCTCGCAAGACGAATGCCTCGCAAGACAAAAAACTCGCTAGACGAAAGGGTTTTTTGTTTTTTGAGCTGCTTCGCAAGACGATTTTCGCTATGGGCTTGCTTCGCAAGACGGAAACGTCTTGCAAGTTTGTTTCCTATTTCTTAACACCGTTAATACAGTTGCGACTTGACTTTGAGGAGCAACTCATAGAACGCGGTGTGGTAGCCTTTTTTGAGGTTTTTAAAGACTTTGGTGATTTTTGAAGCTTTTCCAAAACTTTCCCGACACCGTGCTTCGAAAGACGAAAAAAATTGCAAGGCGACAAAACTCGTGGAACGAATTAATTTCGTCTTGCGAGGCACCACTGTATTTCATTATAATATGAAGAATAAGGGTTATTTGTCCAATCTGGTATCCAAAATATTGAAAGTGTGTCGTTAATTTAAGAATCACAGCAAGCAACTGAAGAATGTCTTCACAGCTAAAATTTTGGAGCCAGGCACTCTAGTTGCAATGCAGTTAAACTTTAAAAAATATGTTTTTCTCACATGCATTTCTCACACAGAGAGATTAATTTTAGTTTGCCGATTTTTGCCAAAAGCTACAAACTATAAAACATATTAAGTATAGACTTCTATAGCAGATATATGATACAGGATGTGGTTTCTGCTTTCTTTTTCCAGTCTTTCAAATATTTTGGGTTGTTTGAGTTTGACTGATGAGAATGAGGGTGTTTTGCATACATAGTAAAAAAGAACTTGTTTCAGCTTTGGAGTGCAAGTCATTTTTACCATACAAAACCCCTGTTTTTGTGCAAGCAGAAGGGAATACTTTGAGCCTTTTGAATATAGGAGACCTTAAAGCAGACAATAGTATGTAAACAATCTGCAAATATATAACTTTGCTAGGACAACCTCAAGGCTGAGAGCAAAGCTTTCAGAAAGACCCCTTCATCAGATTTCCTTCTACTCTTCATTCCGAACAAAGCCCTGGCTGACAATACAGAAATCTCCTTCTTTCTTAGGATTAAACCCCTTTGCAGGAAAAGTATGCAAATGCTGTACGTGTTTCCCTTGTCTGAGGCTACTCTAAACCAGATATCTTTTCACTGTCTGTTTTATTCAGGCAGACCATCCTACTGGCTGACAGGGAGACCAGCCTTCCAATTCAATATGTTTCACAGTACTGACAGTTGGATCCTGGGGCCTGCCATGGACTTTAAAAAGAGCTCATTTAGTCATAATTAACTATTCCTTGCATATTTTCTAAGGTATGGTAATTGTGGTAATAGCCAACAAGTGAAGCATTCATTCCAGTTTTCTTTTAATTTTCTTTTCCACAGCATTTTTTTTTAAGCTCCTTTCCCCTTTTTTCTTATTATTGGCCTCCTCCTTGGTAACCTTCAGAGAAACTAGACAGAAAGAGGTACGTAGAGGAGGGGGGAGGAGGGGGGGAAAGGTTGCTTTAAAAAAAAGCAGAGATTGCCAAATTTTACCCATTATATAATTGTTTTGTATCACAGAGTGGAGAATATGAACAGGAAACAACTGGTATTAATATTCAAAGGATTGGCAAGCCAACCTGTCTGCATAGTTGGGGAATAAGTTGTATCTAACTTACTACATATTTATATGATAAATGCATTTGTTCTTATCCATCTGCTCTTACTGACCAAACCCAAAATTAGTTGGAAATTATATGAGTTCAGGCCAGGCCATTTCAAACACTTGTGTTTGAACAGATCAACATATCCACAGAGTTCAGGGGTGTTTATTTATTTTTCTTTTATTGTGCAGATACAAAAACCCCCTCAGATTTATTTATTTTTAATCCTCACAAACATATAATTAAAGATTGGTTCTAAAGAGGGAATAAAATCTTCAGTGATGTTGCAAGCTGGAGTATAAATTGGAGAATGTTAGAAGCATTTTCTCCTGAAAAATAAAATTCAATTCTTGGATGTCTAGGATCTGCCAAAAAAAAAGGGAACTTCCTCTCTACCTATTCTGCTACTACATTTTCATTTCCTCCCAAATGCACTAGGCATTTTCAATGTAACAGTAAATGGCATACCACAGCATTAGAAGCTCACCATCTAGATTCCATTAAGAAGAAAAATAGGTGGTAAAAGAGTGTAGCATTTGTAACAGTCAAAGCTGAATGAAATATCATCATTAGAAGAAACACTCATTCATATGACAGCTTTGTGTGCTGTTGATTGACCCCTTCAATGCTAAAACCAAAGGTTTGAAAATCATGGCAGAAAAAGCAAGTGTATATTTCCCTAAGTCCAAGGGTTGGGAAACTGTTCTGGCCTGATGGCAAAGTTTTGTCTTTGTCAACCTTCTGGGCACCACATGCCAGTGATGGGTGTGGCCAAGGCAAAAGTGGGTGTGGCCACTCCATATAGATACAGAGACAAATACCTTCCCACAGCATTTAGGCTTGAAAAATGCATTTTAGATTTTTTTCAAGCACTGTTCAGTGGTTCCGCTCCTATACTTCCAGGGCCACTTCCATAAAGTAGTCATGGGAGGTTTCTGTTCAGCACCATGGAAATTATCTTGTGGTATCCCCACAGGATGATCTTGTCACCCATGCTATTTAACATTCATACGAAGTCTCTGGAAGCTGTCACCAGGAGATTTGGAGTCAAATGTCATCAATATGCAGATGACATCCACCTCTATCATTCTGTTCCATCTGACTCTGGAGAGACAGTTGAGGTGTGAGATCAGTGCTTAGAGGCAGTGATGGGACGGATGTGGGCCAATAAACTGAAGATGAATCCTTAAAAGACAGAGATGTTACGTGTCTCAGGTTCTCGTGTTGGGAGGTGGGCAAGAGCCTTCCCTGAATGAGGTTGTACTTTCCTGACTTTCCTGTGTACCTTGTTTCTGCAATCTAGTAGAACAATTTTATTTCCTTGATAGACAGAATGATACTGCAGCCCTGAAAATGTCTCCTGATTCTAAACAGCAACCCATCACCAATGGTACTTTTTTCAAAGTGTCTTCAGCAGTGAGTTGCTGTTTGTTCCTCCCTATGAGTTTTTGGATTACCGCTTGCTGCCCTCAGCCCATGAGTCTTCAGGGCGAGCCTCTTTCCTTCTCCTGATGTAGACCAGTAAACTGCAGAAACAAACTGCACAGGAGTGGTTGAATGCAAATTGGCTTAGAAATAATTAAAGCCATTTCCCAACACAATCAAGGTTGCTTATTATTAACAGTAAGTATCAGCACTGTTTAGATTTCCTCCCCGCCTTCCCTTTCTTAAAGGTCAGAAGGATGAATCACAGATTCTATACTGAAGTAAAAAAGGGGGGGGACGACCCTAAAAATGATAAAATTGAAGATGTCAAGGTAAGCACTTTTGGTGGGGCTAGACCATTTTAATAAAATAAAGTAATTACTTCCTACACTGCCACCTTGGCACCTTGGGATGCACTAGTCTCTACCTGCCTTGTAAGCTTTTCAAGAAGTCTGATGGTTCTCTAAACTCTATATCCACTCACTTAAGCCTTGGTATTTCTAACTGGCTAGAATGTTTTGCTTTTATATATTCTAACTGTACAATTTAATTTTCAACCATCATTAAATATATTCATAGGCTAAACACTCACAGTTCTAATTTACATCCTGGAACAAAACCCATGTCTACTCACAATGAAATTTTATATACAGTGTATGTGCTATTTAGGAGGGTACAGGATCACATAACAAAGCTCAACAAGATGCTGGACAAAGACCTGGAACAAAAAATAGAAGCATTATGCCCAAATCCTATATAGCAAACTAATCTATTTCTAAACAGCTTTCACAAAGGAAGGTGTGGCCACCAAGCTTTGAGGAATCAAGCCTGAGGGCAGTGATTGTACAGAGAAAAGTGCATCAGTCACCAAGTCCTAAAGAAGTTTCAGTTTGAAAGTTACTGCCAAGGTTGGCAGAGGTTGCCTGTGGGGTCTTGCCCAAATCCTACACAGAAGGAACACAATGTGTCCCTCACCAGAGATAGTTCCCCTCCCCTAACACGTCTCAACGCCTTCCACATGTGCTGTGTCATGAAGATTTTGGGTATCACATGGGAGGACAGAGTCTCAAACAAAGACACGGCCACATTCCCAGCATGTTTGCACTCCTGTCTCAGCAACATCTACGCTGGCTTGGTCATGTCCACAGATTGGAAGATGGCAGGATCCCCAAGGATGTGGGGAGCACCAGGCCCATTGCCAGACCGACGCTGCATTACAAAGGTGTCTGCAAAGGTGACATGAAGGTTGGCAAAATCAACCCTGCCATGTGGGAACACTTTGCAGACGAATGCAGTACCTGGAGACACAGTCAGGTCATGCATCCATAGCAGTGACCAGCTGACGAATGACCAGTGGGAGAAATCCAGAGAGAAGAAACACCAAGGTGCATCTGCAGCAGCACAACTGGATGCCTTCATCTGCCCCAGCTGCAACAAAGCACGTCTCTCACATATTGGTCTCTACAGCCACAGCAGGTGCTACAACCTTCTGACAGTTTAACTTCACCCCCAAAGGCGCACTCCTTCATTGTTTCCCGAGGCAGACGGATGTCAGCAACATATTATATCTATACCATGTCATCTTTACTTGCAGCTACATGCTGACTATAGCAGCGTGGCACCATAAGGGAAATATGTCTGTAGAAATCAAATTACCTTAAGAGGTAAAATGAACTCTGCTGTTCTCTGTAGTGTGTGGTGTCATTTTCTTTTGCATCTTCCTACATTTGGCATCACTTATTGTCAAACACCACAGTATGCTCAAGAGAAAGCTGTGTCTATTGATCAGTGTCTCCAAACACTAATGAAGTCCTGAACCAACATAAATTAATTTGCTGCCAAGTTCTCACTCACAGTTGTTAATGCCCTATAAAGCAGTCTTGTAAATAAGTCCACATAAGTTAATAGCCTGCAATTTTTTTGCTAGTCTGCTGGGGACTGCCACTTGTTCTCTACGCCGGCTACTGAGTAGACATGGAATACTCTCATCCTCCTCTGCAATTCAGCTCACCAAATCAAACTACTTATCTGTGTTCAATTTGTTTCTACCTATGGCATCCAGGACTGCGCTTAATATGTACAAGGTTGCTATTAAGAAAGTTCTAGATCAGAAATTCTGCAAGGTGATACAGCTCACTGGTACAGCATATGTTTTCATGCAGGAAGTCCCAGGTCCAATTCAACCTCCAGTTAAAAGCAATTTGGACAGCAAGGCTGAGAAAGACTTTCCTCTCCCTTAGACTCCAGAAAGCTTCTGCCAGTCTGAGTATAAATACTGGACTAAGTATTGATCTAAGTCGTATAAACTTCATATGTGCCTAAAATGGAGGTAGTACTCATCTCTCACAGACCATCTGTTTTGTTAGAATTGAGGGGGTAGACTACATGAATCAGTCCCCACTCCAATCTGCTCTATCAGCAATTTCACTGTGCTGGGGTTGAGGAACAGAGCGCAGGAAAGGGTGACCAGGGATGGAGGCCAAACCATGACTCCTTCTCTGTGGCAGTATTCATCAGAATACTTCACTTTTAGTCAGCTCAAGTGATAAGCCAACTTGCAAGTTTGCTTGTCTCCCATGTTGTATATAAACCTTAGTTATAGTTTATAAAATTCACCCAATCCTAATCCTATTTTAGTCAGTGACAATACTGTGTTGTCTGGAATAAGAGGGCCTGAAACCTACATTGCATGTACTATATATTATCTTCCTGCTATTCAATATTATGCACAAATATTTTTCCCCACACCAATTATCTTATGTACCTATCAGGGAATAAGTAGAATTTATTTTAGAGTTCAACTAAAGTAGGCTTAACTCAATAGGGAACCTGAGGTCTAGTCCAAGTGCTCTCTATTTGGCCCCAGGGACACACCTGAGGCACACTCCACCTCCTCCCCAGACCTGCTCTATCCCCTCCTTGAGTGTTTTGCCTGACTAGAATGTGTGCTTGAAGTGTGATGTCATCTTTTGCTTGCCTGAATGGAGAGATGTGTCCGTATAAACCTATAATTTTGCATGGTTGAATGGTGTCTACTGTACAATGGTAAGAATCACGTCTATTGGTCTGCCTATGGCCATGTTCAACATTGCTATGTGGCCCCCAGAAGGTTCTTTGCAAGATAAAATATTCTCAGAAAATCTTAGAGACCACTGTGCTTGTGCATGAGTAAGAATAACTTATGAGCTGCTTGTATTACAAGATGGGGGAAGGTTAAATTGAATTGTCTGTTCCAAACCCTAAATTTGGGGGGGAAATGGTAGTTTGAAGTCATTCAAATAACATTGCATTGTAAACTAGGAATGGTGTTCTGATCTCATGCAGTCTGCCTACCCACTGAAAATAAACATGAGCTGCTTTATAATTCAGTCTGTGTTGGAGACGGGGTTTTTTCGCCTTCCAGCAGAAGCTAAATGGGGTGTGTGTAGAGAGAAAATCACATCCAGAAATCCTGCCCTGCTTTATAATGAATGCAACTCATATATACAAGCTTCTGCTGAATTGCTACAATTGCAGAGATAAACCATTTGAGAGTATGTCAGGTTTAATTAATACAACATGACCTGATCATTTGCACAGTTAGGAAGAAAGAAGTTTGCATTCTTTAAATCCAGAGCTCAACCTAGAGATTATGCTAAGTTGCTTCATTCACAGTCCACACTCCTCCGCACATGTCAGATGGGCAGCATTTGTCCCCTCTAGTGATAAACAAATTATACATGAAATCAATTCCACTTCACAATAATTCTCCCTATTGGGCATTATCTTTCCTCCTCTGCTCCCTCCAGTTAAGCGTGCATCCTGTAACTTGCTAATGAGCTGGGGGCTCTCTGTTCCAGGTGGCACCCCCTGCCTCGAAGTCATGACATTTCCCATTTCGAATGCTGCTGGCATTTTTCAGCAGCTCCTGCTAACTAGCCTTTTTGACCTGCGCTAAGAGGAACTCATCTCATTGAATCCTCTAACCTGCCAATCATTCCAGCAAATGATCTTCACAGTCACTCCCAAGGCAGGAGGAAAAAAAGAAAGAAACAGAAAGAAAGGAAAAGCCAGCGAGAGAATGAGGGAGTAGGCAAGCAAGCTGCCTCTGCAGCTACCTAATGAGAATATTTTAAGTCTCAGAGGCAGCAGAAACATTGAAAAACTGGTGGGAAAATTAGGATAGAACTGAATGCCTGGCCCTGTAATTACTGATTTCTCTCCATCTTGAGATCATGTCAAGAGCAGCACCTCTGAGCTTTGTTTTTTAAAACCTAGACAAGTAAATTTCACCATATAGCTATGAAAATAATTTCTTTCCTCTGCCACCATCAATATGTAATTCTCACAAGGCTACTTTATCAAATAGAATTCTTTCAAAATTAATTAAGAGCTATAAGCTTGTTAAAATGAATGTTTGCAGCTAAAATTGATTATGTGGATTTGGTGGCAGTAGGGCTGTAAGTATATCCTAAGAACATCATTTTTACCCTGTAACACTGTATTCAACCAGAAATATGTTTTTGCACAGAATTTGTACATTAATTGTGTCTTACGTATTTTTGGTTTAGAAAGCTTTAATATAGGCAAAACTGTTTTTTAACAACAATGGTTATCCAGTGATATGCCTGTGTTTACTTAAAAGCTCTGTACATATCTCAAATTTTGTTCAAACTTTGCAAATGCCTGTTTCAGGATCACTAGATACTGAAGATGAAGAATGCATAAACACATTTTGTTGTTCAAATATGTTTTAATTAATGATTCTGAATTTCAAATCTCTCCCTCTCTACTACCCTTCATTAGACCATTAACACTATTCTATTTCTATATGAAGATAGAAGGAGCCTATTATAGACTGGTACAACAAAGTCATACAATTTGATCAAAATCATGCTTAAAAATCTCTGCACTAATAGGCAGGATTCCCTCTGAAACTGGGAATGTTTAATTCCCCATTAACCTCAGTGGGTGTTGGTATTGGACAGCTGAACTGAGTCAGTCTTTAGGGTATTTAGCTTTCTTTGTTTCTCGGACTGCTTCAGTCTCTTTACACTCAGTATCAATATTTTAGCTGTAATTCTTTTAGAAGCTCTTGTTCATAGAAACAATCCATGCATATAGTTTTAGAGGACTTATAATTAACAATGTATTTTATTTCAAAATTCCACAAAAAGTAAAAATGATTTCTGAATTTTCAAATGCTGTAGATTATGCCTTCGAGACAATGCCTTTCGTTGGTTTTGCTGTCTCTGTAGGTTACAGGCCATGTGCCACAACTAAAGCTTTGTCTGGAAACCTCAGTTTCTCCCCTTCAGTGGTCCCACCTCTTTCGCCTGCCCTAGACAAAGCCTAGCCAATGGGTCACGTGACACAATAATCCTAAAAAAGAGGTAACGGTCTATGGGATAAATGGGATGGTTTAGAATTTCTTTTGCTTCTCCTTTTAGTCATTGTCATTAAGACATTGTCCTCCATGTATTCAAATGTCATTCCAAACCATCAGCCCACTTCAACTCAAACAGCCTTTTATGTCCAGGCAGACCACTGGCAGACCAAAATGATTGTTCAGTGGAAATCTGCTGCTTATCCTAATCATACAGTGAGCACAGAGCAAGGAAAGTTCTATCTTCTGCAACACAAATTCAGGAGCATACATGAAACAAAAAAACTCCACAAATTGTGCCTGATAAGAATCTTAACACTATCAGAATCTAGTAGCCTGTATTAAGATATATATTTAAATCAAAGTATTATCCGTTAAAACAATCATCCACAAAATTGAGGATATTTTGCTTTTAGTCAGCTCCACATGGTTAGATTAGCAAATCTTAACTGCATATTTCATAAAGCAAACATAAGGAAAATCTCATTTGAATTCCTGTCACCAAAAGTCCTTCCCTTCTATTGTCAACGACCCCTCACCTCCTGTTGCCTGGAGCAGTAGGGTGTGTCATTTTAGGGCGTGAAACTTAATTTTTGCAAATTTCTTCAATGAGGGGTCTTGCGCTTGGACAACATTTAGTTTCGTAAATCGACATTTGATTAAAAAGCACATAAACTGCTCTCTGGTTTTTATTTCACCTTCTGAAAATGTCAGGTAATGCTATACTAATCTTAGTTTGTCACAACATTACCTTGTAATCATAAAACAACATCAGAAAGTAATGACATCAGCTAATAATAAATTTAAACAAGTTTCATCAAATCTTGCTTTTATTCATTCTCGGACATCAGCCACCTACTTGCTTCTTGGCCTCTGATGTAGCCCTCACATGTTTTGTGTGTATGCACCCTTCCTGCTGCCTTTGTGACTTGTTTCACCTACACCTCTATAGAATGAGAATAACAGGGCCACTGTGGAACTTGCACGAGCTCATCAATGAACTACTTTACTTCTGCTGTAATAAGTTTACATGGCAAAGGAGGTTCATATACTCCATCAGACCAGACTATCAGCTCCAACAGGGACAAAGCACTGAGGTTGATGGAAGGTGTCTTCCTTGGATGTACAGAAAGGTCTCCCAGTGTGTCATCATCTCTGTTCTTCAAGTCAACAATCTTTTGGAACCAGCTTTCCTCTCCTCACTGTCATCTGAGCACATGAGTGTCTGGATTATCATTTTGCTAAATGCATACCATGGTGAGCACTGGGTGGCAAAACAGCATCCAATACAGCCTTCTTTTGCAGCTGAAAAGTTCTATGGGCCTTTCACCCCCAAGTGCTTTACTCTGATATTGAACAAGCAGAGATAGTACACGCAAATGATGTATTCCACTATTGTTCTTAAGCTGTTGAGGGTTTTGCCTTTAGCATCATGTCTTGAAACCCATCTGTGACAAACAGTTGTTACCCACCTTGAATGGCTCACGGGACCAATTTCAAGACAGGCCAGATCCATGAGAAGCTTTCTTGTCCTTATGGCCTGTGTGACTTGATACCTGTATGCCTGATCAGCAGGCAAATCCTTTATGACACTGTCACTCAGTGGAGTAAGAGGTTCTCCAACTGAGTGTTTGGTGAATGAAGGATCAATGTCAAGTTCTGTAGCAGTGTCTAGAATCTTGCCAATGTTACCTGTCCAGTTGCTGTCCACTCCTACTGAGTACTGTGATCAAGTGTTACAGGGGTAACTCATTGGTGTGGAGGGCACAACTAACAAGATCAGCTTATAATGAAGCTTGACCTCTACCCAATGCATGGTACTATCCTCCCAGCCAGTGTTAACATTTGTAGAATCACCTCTAATGGCCTGCAGCCTCTTATGAATGCCCTTCTTCTTTATGGAATCTACAAGATTATTAGCAGTAACTTCAGCTAGTTTTTCTCTCTTTGAGCCTCTCTAGATGGAAGTGGTAGAGATTTATTCTACCTGGCTCACTGCACACAAAATGCTGTTCTGTGATGATGCTGGGGATCTACTGATCTGAATCGTCTGCTTTCAGCATAACTTTAGTTATATCTTCGCAACTGTAAAAGAAGATGCAGTCAATTTCACTCTTCTGACAAAGATAATCAAATACCCAATCCAGGGATTTCATAACTTTTTCTTGAGCCCTCTTGATTTTAATAATAAATAACAACAACAACAACAATTTATTTATATCCCGCCCATCTGGCGGAGTTTCCCCAGCCACTGCCACTCTGGGCGGCTCCCAATCAAGTGTTAAAAACAGTACAGCATTAAATATTAAAAACTTCCCTGAACAGGGCTGCCTTCAGAACATTGTGATCAACTACAAGTCTCTTCTTCAGTGATCAAGCCAGCACACAGGCCAACACCACATCTGATGCTCGGCATAGCAACATTATGTATTTCTAATGTGTTGTATTCTGTCTTTTCATTGGAAGTGGAATGCATACTTGGTTTTTATAATGTAAATTCATCATTTCCATCAAGGCCATTAGCTATTTGTTCTTCATTTTCATCAGCAGTGAAAATAATTTCATTTGATGGTATTGAAGCCTCCTGCTTACTTCCCTGCTTATATTCCTCAAGCCTTCTTTAGTCTTTTTGCCGCTTCCACTTTTTGATTTGTCTGTTATGCTCTGGCAGATTGAGCAAGCCAATCTGATGTGGTCCAACAGAACCAGTCTTCTCTCCTCTGTCCTTTAATAAAGCAAGTTGCTTCATAGGGATCTTCATCTCCTTAGGGCACGTACAGTTAATGTGAACTTCCTTTTTGCAACCAGCATCTGCAGGACAGCCAAATTCAGGGCAGAGGAAAAAAATATACACTTGCAATTGAGGATGTCAAAAAGCTTGTCAATTTTTGAAGGGAAAGCCTCTTTGACATCTAGCTTTTCTCTACCAAGAGACATGTTTTTGGCCTGCTCCCAGCTCTCTTGGATCTTCTTTAAGATTGTGACTCATGAATTTACAATAGGAGTGACAAAAGAACTGTTTACTTGTTCCTACTTTTCAAGCACTTGGCGTAAAGGCCCTTGCAAGACTGGCTGCTGGGTAATTTCTGACGTCCTCACTACTTTGTTCTCTTAGCAGTAGCCCATACCTCAATGGGAGTTCAGAGGGCAACAACCCTCAGCCAGTTCCAGTTCTGTTGTGCTGGTTCTGACCTATAAAGCCTTAAACGTCTCAGGGCCGCATAACTCAAGGATCTCCTCTTTCCATGTGAACCTCCCTGGACCCCGAGATCATCCTCTGAGGCCCTTCTTTGTGTGCCTCCTCCTCAAGAGGTCCAGAGGGTGGAAACACGAGAACGGGCCTTCCCTGTAATGGCTCCCCATCTGTGGAATGCTCTCCCCAGCAAAGTATGCATGGCGCCTTCATTATCCACCTTTAGATGCCAGGCAGAAACGTTCCTTTATAACCTTGATTGACATCCTATGCCCTTGTAAAATGTGATTTTCTTCTGTGAACAACCCCAAGACCTCCGGGTATATAAATTCTAATGATGGTGATGATGATGATGATGTCCCCAGTGTTGGGAACAGGGGTGCTTTAACACTTTGCCCCCTACTGCATTCCTGACCTGGATCAGAGGGCCCATACTTGTAAGTTGCTTTGGAAAAAATGTTCCCACAGAAATGAATGTGACCTCTTTTTTTCCAATGCAAATTGCAGGAGCCGGGAGATGCATCTGGATCAGAACCACAATGAAGGGCAAAGAGATAAAGCCCCTTAACCCCCATGCTAGAATTCTGATCTGCATTTGTATCTCTGTGCTGCCAATCTGTGGAAAAGAATCCTCCCACTCAAGGGCAATAGTACAGTTAAGGTCATATGCAGTTTGGACCAGAGAGTGACTTGCCCAAGCAACCCACTAACCTTCATGGAAGCGGGTGGCACTGTGGTCTAAAACCACTGAGCCTCTTGGGCTTGCCAATCAGGTCGGCAGTATGAACGCCTGCAAAAGGGTGAACTCCCATTGCTCTGTCCCTGCTTCTGCCAACCTAGCAGTTTGAAAGCATACCAGCACAAGTAGATAAACTGGTACCGCCGAGGAGGGAAGGTAAAACAGCGTTTCTGTGCACTCTAGCACTCGTCATGGTGTCCTGTTGTGTCAGAAGCAGTTTAGTCATGCTGGCCACATGACCTAGAAAGCTGTCTGCGGACAAATGCCTGTTCCCTCAGCCTGAAGCGAGAAGAGCGACACAACCTCATAGTCGCCTTTAACGGGACTTAATCATCCAGGGGTCCTTTTACTAACCTTCATAGCATATAGGCTTGAGAATGAATTTCTCATGTGCAAACACGTGCATTCCGTATTTAAACACTCAGTACTATTTTCTCTGACAATAATTCTCTAAGGTATCAGGCTGAAGTCTTTGCTAACTCCAGTACCAGAACAATTCTATAACTGATGATACTAGAGGTTGAACCTGGGGCTATGCTTGAACATTGAACTATATGCAATAGTCAGTTGGGACTAAAATACCATGTAGGTAAGGGCTATGGGAGTGAAGGTGTTAAAAAAGCACTCCCCAATCAATTGCACCAATTTATTCCAAGGCATAGGGTTATGCCAGCAGAAACCCTTGCAATGGTCTGCAAACTGTGCATAAATTTCATGTGACATAAGGATATTGGTCCCAATAAGGGTATCACATCTGTGTGGGTTGACACAAAGTGAAATTTCACCTCTTGCTTCCATTACATTTAACCACAGCAACTAATATAAATCTTGCAATTCAAGATGAGGGTATTGCTGTATTTGATATGCATAGTAATTAGGGTATTTTCTACCAATTTAATGCCTTTGATGCTAACAAAAAAGACAGTAGTAAAACATCCCTGAAAGCATTATGTTGCTGACAGTTTGAAATTAGGGCTCTAAAAATGCTAATAGCAGCCAAAATAATCTAGGATCTCACAGTCCGCTTTATGCCCGCCTCTCTAATTTAACATTTTACAAAATGAATGCAACAATTTCAGCTACATTTAACATTGCTGTCATTGGATTCTAAGACTCAGATTGCTTTCAGCTGCCCACCACAACTATATCACATAAGCCTTTTCACTAGCTCCAATTAATGCAGATGCAGTATTAGTGAAATAATTAAACATTCATGAGTAGACATTATTTGGAAAGAAGATGCATGAGAAATTAGGATTGGTACAATACATGTTCAATACATGTTCTTCTTAATTACAGTGTGTGTGTGTGTGTGTGTGTGTGTGTATACATGCACACACATACAGCGGTGTTTGCCTCACTCTAATTTACACACACACACACACACACACACACACACACTACATTTTGCAGTATATAATTGCTATTTCCCCCTATGTCTAAATGCTTACTTTTACACTAACCTTGGGAACCTGAAGAAGAGAAAATGCTATAGCCTGACTACAATGTTTAATTATATTAAAAATACAGTATAGAAGTGCAGGTCACTGGTACCAAGGGTCAGTCTAATAAAACGTGTTCATGCAGCTGACTTCACTATAATGATTGAAGTGCTATGACCCAGTGTTGGTCAAATTGAGAACAAATTACACAATGTTTAAGCTGTTCCTGGCGATTCAGCGGTGATGAGGCACAGAGGTTAGAAAGAAACAAGGAGGTGAGGAATTAGAATGACTTCTCAATACTCTCTGACACAGACACTGCTGGACTATGGCACCCCCACAGCTTGACTAAAGGAAACCCTGCAAAAATAATGTAGCTACACAAGACTGCTGGGAAGAGTGCCTTACACAGTTTGCAAAAGCCAGAGGTGAACAGGCATGCTAGTAAATGCTACTGAGGGAATGGGGGTGGGGTGGGGGGAGAATTCAGCTTGTGAAAACACAATTAATCACATATGCAAAGTGGTCAGTTAAGAAAATTCTTTTAACAGGACATTCCCAGTGTTTGGATATCACCATGCTACTTCTTTAGTGCTTTTGCTATCATAGTGATAATCATACTGCTCACTAAATGTAAGCAATAATAGAAAACAGAGCTTATTTGCAGAACCACAAAATCTCTCTGCCCACACTTATGTCACTTTGTGAGGAAGAATGGCAGAATTCTGAAAGTAAATTTCTAGATTGCTTGAATGTAATCTAGAAATTGCATTCAAAATTGCATTGAGTGCCTGTGGGAGAAGTAAAAGACACAACTCCACAACATAGCTGTCAAGTGTCCCTTATTTGAAGGGACAGTCCCTTATTCCAGCGCCATGTCCCACTGCTGTCCCTTATTGATAGATGTCCCTTAAATGATGTCCCTTAAATTTCAAAGGAAGCAGCTCCTCTCCCTCCCTCCCTGCCGGCCAGGGAGGAGGGAGGCTCCAACTGTGATGCTTGGCTGTGTTGCTCACCCAATAAGAAGTCTAAGAACGACTGGGGGGTGGAGCTTGCATGCCTTGTGTGTGGCTAGTTAATGCAAGCTGAGGGGGTTTTTGAATGCTGGACGCCATTTTGTTGCACGTGCTGCTGCAAACTTTGCAGTGCAAAGCCAGGCCAGGGAGCCATCTTAAGTTGAGGCTGCATAGGCCTTGTGGTGCATTTGATTCAGATTCTATTCAGTTGAACCTCTGGTTACAAAGTTGGTTGGACAGTGTTCTCGAAGCTACCAACATGAGTTTGACCAGACTGCAGGAGGACAGGAAGACTGGAGTGCCTGGAATAGGTGAGGCTGCAGGTCCCTTATTTTGGCTGCTGGTCCCTTATTTTCAAGGCTGCTGATCCCTTATTTTCAAATCTGTAAGTTTACAGCTATGCTCCACAGTGAAGCTGAAAGACACAGCTTTGCTCAGAAATGCAGTTTCTATAATGAGCTCATAATACGGCTATACTATATAAAAATAATTATTCATGAAGTAATAATAGAAACCGTGGAATCTGTGACTTAATAATTAGTGGGTTGGATCCAGGGTCAAAGACTTTTGATTCGGTGGAGGTTCCCACTGTTGTGTGAGGTGACTTTGTTGATTTTCCCTCTCCATACAACCTCCACCAACCCTCTGGAACAGTGTGGGAAATGGCACTGGGGGTTGCAGGGGGGAAAGTGTGGAGTGGCAAAAATATGCCTGCAACAGTACATCACTTGAGTGGAATTCTGCTAGGAGAAAGCTCCAGCTCTTGGGTTGAGCAGAGTCCCTCTGAACATGTTTCAAAGAGTGACTTTTTCTCACATCTGAGTAATTGCTGCCTGCCTATATACATCTAGGATTTCAGGTTCAGGAGTCTAGCTTTCCAATGGGCTTAAGCCCCCTCACCCCCCCTCTATTTACAAATTAAACACTAATTTATATAGAGTTTTCATATAAAGGGTGCTGTACAATCTTTGGCTTGTATCTGACAGTTTTAACCTAGGTTTCTAACATAGCTATGGAAGATAGGAGATCAAAGATTGCAGGATTATCTTTTAGTCCCACTCTATTTTATTTTATTTTATTTTATTTGTTTGCTTGCTTTTCTGTTAGTCCTACTCTTTATTATTATTTTCTCTATGTCTGTGGATATATATTTATCTGCCAACTAAAAATAAACTTTCATGCTTTTGGCTCTAATCCATAAAAGCTTACATCACAATAAATCAATTAGTCTACAAAGTGACAAGATTCCCTTTGTGTTTACTTTATCCATTGTTTTTAAGATGCATGCAGTTGCTCCTTTTAATAGTTACTAACCTGTCCTTTATTAGGTATACTCATTGAGGATGTCATTTTAATGACCCAGAAAGTAAAGTAAAGGTTATTTAGGGATTCATGCTGCTGCTACCAGGAGATAATCTTGTCATCTGTAGAAATTAAGGGTGCTTCCTGTTCAAACACAACACTACCCCGCTATGGGATGTGGGAAAAACAGGTACAAAACATGCATGCTGTCATATGTGAAAAATCACATAGACATATATTTGGCAACAGCTTTCCTTTGTCATTGCCTTTGTTCCTAAGATCAAATTCCCTCCACCTCAAATTAGGCAACTTAAAAAAACCATGACTTGATGTTTGGAAATCTGTTGGGTTTCATACTCAAGTGTGGAGCTCCATCAGCAACAGTTTATTCCATCTGGGTGCAGTAGTTGCTGTATGGATTTTTTATTTTGAAAATATAAGTAATTTAGTGACACCAGGTTCCAAATGTGCTTTATCACAGAAAAATAGGTGTTTTGGTCATCAAAACCCTATATTCATTCTGACCATTTTGTATTGTATTTGCAAACCTTTCAAACATCCACATTTAAAATGTACTTGCAAGGGTTGATGTTTCATATTAGAACAGGTAAAGTTGAAGAAATGTCTATACGGATGCCACTTGGAGGAAAAGTAAAAATTAACTAGGCAACAAACTTGTAAACAAGCCAGGCAGCCTGATTTCTGATACTGTAGAATCTTAAACCTTTCGCTGTAGAGAAACATGTGACATAATTGGGGCAGTTTACACTAGCTGATATTCCTCCAGAAAGCTATTGTCATTATTTTGTAGACTGCTTTTACATCACCACCACTTTGAAAACAACCCAGTGCTGGTATCAGTTTCAGATACAGTTCATGGAGCTGCAACTAGCTGGCAAGATTTATTTATACTTTCATAAATAAGTATATCCAATAGAAATTGTTGCAATTATGATGCAATTAATTGTTTCTTTTTAACTGAGTATAGCAGAATTAAGTACTCTTTCAATTAGATGTACTTAACTAGGTTATTCTGTGTTATCAGTATGAAACAGTTTACAAAAGTCTCTTTTTTTGTAAGAAAAGATACGATAGCAGGAATGCTTGTTCCAAAATGTTGAGGTGGTATTATTATTATTATTAATATTATTATTAAATTTGTATATCACCCTTATCCTATGATCACAGGGGTGATCTACAGGGGTGTGGCTTACAACACAGTAATACAAAATGAAAACCCAAATACACAACAAAAACAAGAACAAACCAACAACTCGTTCCCCTTATGAACAATGACAATTGTCAAAAGGAAGTGGCAACATGACAACTTTGGGTACCTTTGAGAAGGAATACCAACAGTACTCATCTAATAACAACCAAAAAAAGGATTGAATTCACATAACACAAGGAGTTTAAAGAGCTGTTAGATACACTGGGTTAGAGAAACATGGGTACGTTTTAGGGCATCCTTAATTCTTCAACAACTGAAGATGTAAAATGAGTATCTGAGAACTGAGTACCCCAAATCCTTATTCCAGGCGTCTTATTGCAATAATTGACATTCAGGCACATTCCACATAGCACTTTGAAACTGCAATGGATCAGCTGGCTGGAGAATACATACTCTGGTTTTTTTGTGCTGGATGCAATATCCCTGAAATTGAAGCGTATCCTGGCAGCAGATGTTTAGATACTATGTAATGAGGAACAACTATCTTTGATAGAATGCAATAGCACCAAAACAAGCCGGTGTCCCAACATCAACTTCTTTTGTCAAGGTGAAAGATTGCAATGTTCAGCCTCCACAATTGCAAGCAATTATCCCAACACTTCTCACTCAAGTCTTGCCAAGCAAACCCACGTGCTCTCTCTCATATTTTAACTCATAACAAGCAAAGATTTCTGTATTTAATGATCATATTTTCATTAAGCCTCTAGACAGTTTCCTGTTTGCAAGTTTTCTTATGGGCCTACTTCAGGACCCCTCAAACTAATTTTTATTGGAGACCTAGCCCATTCCGTTACACCAAGTCCTTAACCAACCTTAACATTTCATACTATGTCCTCTGCTCCTATAAACCTCACATTGCCTTTATATGCTTTCCCCACACAACATTATATCTCCTTATGCTATCAGCAGCCTACCATCATAAGAACCTATGGGTGCTGCCTCTCCTGCTACCGCTGTTTTACTATGTAAAAACACTGTGCAATCGCTGTTGATCTATTTTGTCATAAGGATCACTGTAACGGGAAAGCATGGAACTCTCTTTTCCCATGTGTGAGGTGCGCTAACATGGATGGGGAGGGAGGATAAATCTAATCATGCTTAGAGCTAGCTGTGGGACCTCAAAATGCCACAGGGTGTTCTATCATATTTTTTCCACGAAACAGATTTGCCATACAAAGTCCACAGTTAGATGAATAAATTATTCCATTTAAAAAGGGGGTTTCATACTGTACAAGGTAGTGGTGGGGGGAGAGAGAAAGTTTTACTTAAAAACAACAACCACTTTTTGACAAGCTTCTCTTACCTGAATTATTTGTGGGAAATCAACATGTTCCTCAGTGCTTCATGTTTGATAGACCTTTGCCATAAATATTGTTTTTTCCAAAGACTTTCATGCTTTCTCCACCCTCTGCTTGTAATCTTACATTAGGTACGGAAAAAATTGAAGACACTGCAGGGGAAAGATAGAATTCAGGCATTTAACTTTTAAAGTTTTTAAAGTTTCAAGGCACTAAGATATTCACTCCCCCCACAAACCTAAAAGCAAGCAAGAAAAAGCCAGCAACTTATTTTTTAATGGAAAATTGTGATGCAACATTCTTATGAAAACAAGACAAGTTCCCGTGCTATTCTTTCATCCCAGGCCAGGGAGTTCCTGCAATCAGCCCCTAAAGACACTTACTAATGGCTTGAAAGAACTGTTGGGACAGCCCCTCCCCCTGCTTTTCAGGAGCTACTTAAAGACCTGTGTGGCATAAGGAAAAGGCAGAAGAGGAGAATTCAGGACACCTTATGCAACCAGCTCCTGATTACACTGCCAATAATAAGAGAGAATATACTATTTCTGTTTTATTGGCTGCTGCCATTCAGGACCTACTAACAGTGCTTGCCTGACTTAGATTCTCTTGGAGTAGGACCTAACCGTGTTATTTGTTTCTTCATTTTTAATCTCTTTCTAAAAATAAAAAAATCTAAGCCCCAAATGGCAGGGTTCTTAATAAGGTGGAACCACCTTTGATAGCAAAAGGCAACAGGCACATATACAATCTTCATGCTGAGGTGCCACAGCCTTAAGATTGCAGAGAAGATAAATGCTGCCTGATCTTAGGAGCAAAAGTCAGCATTTCCACTCAACTCAGTACTGGGGTGGGGCTCTCTGTCTGCTTGCATGGGCCTGCATTGACCCGTTTTATTTATTGTTTGGTTTTCTCTTTGGCTCTGCCCACTTCAGTCTCTGGCCCCACCCACTTCCACCTTTGGAACATGGAACTTGGACATTAAAATCCAGCCCTCAGGCCATGGATTAAATTAATAAGAGTGGCCACAGTAAACATTACAGCTGATTTATGGAGTGTCACCACAAGGATGGGATTCTTTTTAGCAATGTGGTTGTAAATGCCATAATGTTTACACTGGCTCCAGTGACTATGGGCTTAGTTCACATTAAATAATCAGTTCTAAAATGTGTTTGCAAATTCATTACAGGATTTACATATTGGATATCTCTAACTATAAAAAAGGATTGCCCACTTGCCGAGTTCTTCACAAGGTCTCTGGGTTAGAAGGAACTGAGTGTATGTGCAGATGAATTCCACGATGAAAGGTCATCATCATTACCTTTAACATTGAAAAATGTTTGTGGTTCCTTACTAGTATTATACTGGATATACTGTGCCCACAATTAAAATTAATGTAACATTTAAGTGGGAAATATTTTCAGGTGCATAGAGAAAGCATCACTCCTAGTTACCAAAATCACCTAGGCTCTAGCCACCAAAATTCCATCAATTCACAGTGTAACCCTTTTTTTGCCAAAATATACAACTTCCATTGTTTTTTTAAAAATATGATGGCAATTTCTATCCATGCATACCAAATGAAAACAATTATAGTATTTGATACAGGGATTGTCCCTTCTTGCATCTTTATTTATGCTCCATAATGATTATCTGCTAGACACAGAAATAGTGTTTCTGTAACTCAAAAATTTTACTGGAGGCATTTAGCAAAACCTTGCCTTAAAATATAATGATTTTTCATCTTTATTCTCCTCCTTCAAAAGGTTTCACTGCTCCTGATGTTTAACGTTATGCAAAGACGTGTTTCTGCCAATGAATATCGCCTTATGGTTATGCTTCTGCAAATAACCTGCTGTGAGCTGATAAAAGGATTAATGCTGCCAAAATTCTTAATCTGTGAAATTACAAATTAAATTCTCATATTAAAAATACCACCCTGAGGTATTTTTTGTGGTTTTAATTCCCCTCTGGTGTTCTGCATACATTGTGCTTGTTAATGACTAGGACAAGACTGTCTCTGTTGGCAGCCTGCTGCACAGTGATAATGTGTAGGCATTTACTTCACAGATAGAACCGGATTTAACCACCAACTGATAAACTAAGTGGCAAGTGGGTAATAAGTCCATATTAACTGAAAAGTATTACTACAGAATTCAGAATTCATAGACTATCAAAATCCTGGCTAGACTAAAATGTACAGTCAGAAAGGATTGAGATGTCACCAATGTAGAGCGACATTAAGTTATCATCTTTTAAATTGACAAAAAAAAAACCCCCAAAAAAACATTGGTATTTTTGTTGTCTAAGTACTCATGAACTAACAAATTAGACTTCCAACAAGATAGCAGACTTCTCAACAAGCATCATTAAATTGCACCTGGGTACTTTGGAAAATTCTGATTAAATCATGCAATAGGCAAAAGACCCTATGAGTCAAGAAGAGGGTGTACTTAGTCCCTCAAATTGGGGCGGGCTGAAGAATGTAGCATTTGTCTGAAATAAGGCAAAATGCAATGTCTAATTACTGGATGAAAATTTTTCAGTTCCTGAAAATATGAGCTTCTATTAGAGTAGATGTGCGTGTTTTTTGGAGGAGGGAGGGGAAGAATAGTATGTTTATATGAATTAGAAAAACTAAATCTTAATGAGATCCTTTATACCGGTAGTTCTTAGCTGCATCTCTAAGAGGACACTTTGGGAACACAGGAAAATTGGAAGCTGCCTTATACATACTATTAGTTCATCTAGCATATCTCCAGAATTTCAGACACAGGCCTATGCCTACCTGGAGATGCCAGGGATTGAGAGTACCTAAAGCCCATCGACTTCTGAGATCCTTCTCTGACTTTATTTTCCAGAAAATCTCTTTTGGTATCCAGGGGCAACATAAATGGACTGTGTGTGTGTGTGTGTGTGTGTGTGTGTATCACTGCCATCATAGAAAACCTGTGAGATAGGCTGAGGCGTAGGAACACATAGGCATAGGAACACGACAGTGTTTAAGTAATTAAATGACAGCTGATTAGCTGCAGGGTTAAGGGAACATAGGAAGCTGTCATGCTTACTGAGTCAAGAGTACTGGTTTAACTAGTTCACTGACTGACAGTGGCTCTCTGGGCTTTCAGATAGGAGTTTTTCTTAGATGCGCCTGGAGATGCCAGTACTGAACCTGGGAGCTTTTGTTGTGGGATGTAATCCACTCGTGCAGTCAAATGCAACATTCCTTATTTCCCTAGAGTGGGCACAGGCAGGGGGACATCCAGTCAGTGTAACTTCCTGTTCCACTGGAGCTTCCTCCTACTGCATGTGACCTGGGAGATGGGCGTGCCTCTGGCTGACTCCATAAAAGAGCCAAGTCATGCAGCCATTTTCTCAGGTCATCTGTTTTGTCTTTCTATTGTCTTGCTGTTCTTTTGCTGCCATGCTGCTCTCTTGCAGCCATTTTTTTTGTCTCATGGGCTCTTAGCCAGCAGCCCATGAGTTCCATGTCCATACGAGATAAGCTCACAGTTTCTTTGTGTAACTACCAAGTAAAGTCTGCCTTTCAGGGATCAAAATCATGAACTGAAAATGTGGGTAAACATTTTGTTACTTTACTCAGAAAGAGTCATGTGTCTTTACTTTTTTAAGTGGGATCAAAGGGGACACCAGGAAATAAACTTACCTAAGAGATTCAAACGAATCTGCAAACTAGCTTCCAGCTACCGTATTTTTCGCCCTATAGGACGCACCGGCCCATAGGACGCACCTAATTTTTTTGGGGGGGGGAAATAAAGGGGGGGAAATTATTTTCCCCCCCCAGGCGCGGGGCTGGGATGGGGGAAGCCCGAGCTTCCCCCGACCCTAGCCCCCAGAACATGCAGCTCTCTGCAAGCCATGGGAGCCCAGCGCCAGGCTCCCAGGGCTGAAGCTAAGCCTGGGCGCATTGTGCCTCCCCGTTGTCCCCCAAGCTTGCGGGGCTGGCGGCAGGGAGAAGCAGGCTTTTCCCACTGCCAGCCTCCAAACGACGTCGGGAGACAGCGGGATGGTGCGCTGCGCCTCCCCGCTGTCCCCCCAGCTTGCGGGGCTGGCGGCGGGGAGAAGCAGGCTTCTCCCCGCCACCAGCCTCCAAACAACGTCGGGAGACAGCGGGATGGCGCGCTGCGCCTCCCCGCTGTCCCCCGAGCTTGTGGGGCTGGCAGTGGGGCTCTCCAGGCTTCAGCGAAAGCCTGCATTCGCCCCATAGGACGCACACACATTTCCCCTTCATTTTTGGAGGGGAAAAAGTGCGTCCTATAGGGCGAAAAATACGGTATATTGTGGGGAATTTGCTCTGCTACATCACTTACTAGCGTGAGTGAAGGAAGGATAATACTTATTCAATATATCCTTTCCTACTATCCTTAACATTCCCACATTTGTATGTAAGGCACATGCTCTACCACTAAGCCATGGCCCTTCCCTATTGGAGCAATTGGGTCCCATAAGCACCACATTCCACAGTGCCCAAGGGCTGATTTCGTACACATATCATTTCAACAAGTTGCGCTGGCTGTTCTCAAGTACACACTTATGCATACAAATGTTAATACAAGAACCGGGTAGTTAGTTTTTCACAGCAATTGTCATGCCTCCATGATCACAGAACTTTCTGTAAACCAAGATATTTGCTGTTTAGCTCACACATTAGATCTGTAAATGTCTAAAAAGCTTTGCAACTAGAGATGTAGAATTTCTGAAAAAACTGAAGTCATGGTGGAGGGAACCTGTTTTGTTTCCTGTTCCCCAGCCCCACCCCAAAATATGCAATTCTTATTTTTTTTAGCAGATCGAATGTCACTTTGTTGCTTTAGAAATATAAGATGTTCCTAAATTTATTCAGTTGTTAATTACAAATTGAATTTGCTTTTTGAAAAAAAAGTTGTTACACATAGAGCTACAAGCTGCTGAACGGTAAGCTGGGGGCACTGTTATATGGAGGTTCCGCTCCTTTCTCCTGGGCCGTGACCAGAAAGTGGTGTTGGGGGATGAGTGTTCAGACCCCTGGGCTCTCACTTGTGGGGTGCCTCAGGGTTCCGTCCTCTCCCCCATGCTTTTTAATATCTATATGAAGTGTTTATCAGAATGCAGATGGCACCCAGCTCTACCTCTCTTTTAAATCAGAACCAGTGAAGGCGGTGAAGGTCCTGTGTGAGTGCCTGGAGGCAGTGGGAGGATGGATGGAGGCTAATTGATTGAGGTTGAATCCTGACAAGACAGAAGTACTGTTTTGGGGGGACAGGGGGCAGGCGGGTGTGGGGGATTCCCTGGTCCTGAATTGGGTAACTGTGCCCCTGGAGAACCAGGTGCGCAGCCTGGGAGTCATTTTGGACTCACAGCTGTCCATGGAGGCGCAGGTTAATTCTGTGTCCAGGGCGGCTGTCTACCAGCTCCACCTGGTACGCAGGCTAAGACCCTACCTGCCTGCAGACTGTCTCGCCACAGTGGTGCAAGCTCTAGTTATCTCCCGCTTGGACTACTGCAATGCGCTCTACGTGGAGCTACCTTTGAAGGTGACCCGGAAACTGCAATTAATCCAGAATGTGGCAGCTAGACTGGTGACTGGGAGTGGCCGCCAGGACCACATAACACCAGTCCTGAGAGATCTGCATTGGCTCCCAGTAAGTTTCCGAGCAAAGTATGTTGGCTCCCAGTACGTTTTCCGATTCAAAGTGTTGGTGCTGACCTTTAAAGCCCTAAACGGCCTTGGTCCAGTATACCTGAAGGAGCATCTCCACCCCCATCATTCAGCCTGGTCACTGAGATCCAGTGCCAAGGGCCTTCTGGCGGTTCCCTCATTGCAAGAAGTGAGGTTACAGGGAACCAGACAGAGGGCCTTCTTGGTAGTGGCGCCCACCCTGTGGAATGCCCTCCCTTCAGATGTGAAGGAAATAAGCAGCTATCCTATTTTTAAAAGACATCTGAAGGCAGCCCTGTTTAGGGAAGTTTTTAATATTTAATGCTGTATTGTTTTTAACACTCAATTGGGAGCTGCCCAGAGTGGCTGGGGAAGCTCAGCCAGATGGGCGGGGTATAAATAATAAATTGTTGTTGTTGTTGTTGTTGTTGTTGTTGTTGTTGTTGTTGTTATTTAAGGAACCTAGCATTCTGCCAGTTTATGAGCAGGCAAAAGCAATAAAAGCAGGAGAAACCATCAGCATTACAGTAAAAAAAGGAGAAAATTAGTATGTATTCTATTCAACTAAGTCATTGAAATTAATTAATGAACCTAAGCTGGTAAAGTCTACTAGCTTCAGTAGGTCTATGAGTAGGACTAGCACTGAATACCACCCATGTTTCTTTCAGTCCTCCACAATGTTAAGCACTCATTTCCATTAACAGAGTTGGAAAATTGGGGGAAGGGACCAAGACTCAGTGAGTACTACATAAAATTTAATCAGTCTGATTTCCTGAGCTATGACTACCAGTTCCTACTTTTTCATATTTGTCATATTTATCATGTACTTCTAAAAACTGAAGTTTTACCCAGAATGAAACAAGCTTATCTACCCTTTCACATTTCATAGTCCAACACTTTCCCCTTTTTTTGGGGGGGGGAGAACAAAGAGGATTCTGGGGGGAAATGTCCATTCCATCACCCAGGCCCTCACATATCTAACTGCAGCAGGTCTGACCAAGCCTCGTTATTTCTCCAAATGGGCCTGAGAAATCCAGATAGTAATGGGGTTGAAAGAGAAACGTAATTCACTAAGCAAACGTGACCAGTTAAAAAGATGCGTCCTCAAGAGCATTTTTGTTCATTGTGCTGGCAGAAATGAGTATCACCTGAAAGTGAAATTGATTTACACCAATTTTATATTGGTAAAATTATCCCTGCCACCTCATCCAATGTAAATATGCCTTTGTCTGAATGTGCTGCAATGACTTTTTAAGAACACTAAAGTCAATAAAAATCCTTGCTAGTTAAAAAGAAAATTGGCAGCATCTTGTTGGGATCATATTACTTATAATAACGTTAATACATTTTGTTTAAAATGAAAAAACAAAGGACAGTGTTTGAATGTTGAAAGCATCCTCAAGCTATAAGAAAATGAACTCAAGTTTATCTTTCATATGTTTAAATCCTGCACATTAATCAATTGTGTGCTTTGTGTTCTTCAATCTTTTAAATACAAAAATCTTTTTTAAATTGTTATTATTTTGGCATATATAATGTTTGAGAATATCACTGGATTATTGTCCCGTGAACTGCAGCATGTTAAAAAGTGGTGCATATTATGAAGTAAAAAGCACTAAATATGTAAATTATATTTCCCTCTCCCTTCCTTTCTTTATGGCATTTCAAATAATTCTCTTTACTGCACATATAATCAAATACAAAGATAGATAGCTACATACTGCATAGTAGAGATAGCAAGGGAGAGTCCATTTTTCCTGTGTCAAGCAAAGTATGGAATTTGAACTGCAGAATCACACACACACACACACACACACACACACACTTCCTTGCCTTTATTCTATGTGGATGTTTTGTTATACTCACTGTCAGTTAGTTCCCATAGCCGTGGGGGCAGGTCACTGAAATACTCATGGCTGAGAGCTGCCTGTGCTGACAATCTGTTCTTTGGGAAACACTGGAGTAATTTGGAGGCCAGATCCTCTGCATGATTCACATAGCTTAGCCTTAAACATAAGCAGAGAAAAATTAGTGAGACAACAAAGAAAAAAAGAGAAACTACTCTCACTGGTTATGCCGTATATAACGATATCAAGGAAAGCAGAAATATAGAGCCAGGTCCATGTACCTCGCCAAATTTCACCGCTGTAACTTACATGGCTTATTCACAGCCATTGGCAGTAGTTACAAACATTAAAATTTATCGTTACACTTTAGTTACTGTCCTTTTAGTTGTTAGCAGACATTTTTGAAGTAAGCAGAGTGCAGAGACAGTGGCTCCTTGCCTTTCAAGATGCTACAAAGCCAAGGACCTTCACCTCTCTGCTACAGTTACTGTAGAAATTCAGTGTCCTCTCAACATTTCCCACCCAACATCTCACATTTCTAAGCAGAAATCTTTGTGGAAGACCCTGACTGCAAAAGGAAGGGCATCTCATCATCTGTGCTTTCTGGTGAATGGAGGGGAAAGCATATAAATGCCCTAACCTTTACAGACCCCCCCCCCCTCCAATTCTTCTATCATCATGTTTTCCCAAAGCATAACACATCAAAACCCTGCCAACTGTTCATTTTGTTTGCTCCAGATTTCCCCTGAAGCGAGGGATGCCTACTGATTTATGGCCACCAATAAAGTAATGGGAGATCACCCTATGGAACCCAGTGCTCTGAAACAGATAAAATAGATTCATACCTCTCGATCTCTCAAATTGTGAAATAAACATTAATTCTGAAAAAACTGTGGAATACCTTTTCAAGTAAGTCTATTTGCACTTGATGTGGCAAGAAATAATTTTAGTTTTCTTATGAGATTGGTTTTAGACCAAGATAGGCTTTTGTTTTGGTTTTTACGACACAGACCGACATTTTGTTAGCCTGCTTTTGAATCTGTTGGTATTTCTATGTAGGCTACAGTCAAGCCATGAGTTTCTGTATCTGCATGTTGGAATCTGGCTACGTTATTGTACTTAGTTCCCACCAAAATAAATGGGATAATAATCAGCTTTCATGTCGATTTCAATGGGATCTCAATGCAATTTATTTATAGGTTGGTCCTGTAAATATTTACTCACAAATTAAGTGCCACTGAGTTTAACTGAATTGTTGTAGAGGACATATACAGTATTTCAAAATCAACTGCTGTTCTTTTCTGCATTTTCAGTTTGAAATACAAACACAGGCCACAGTGTCACCTACCAACTAGACTCCAGTTCTGCAAGAATTTGTATTCAAATGGTGGGAATGGTTCCATTCAGCTATTCTTGACATTTACAAGAAAACACTTCAGAGTGAAGGGCACTAGTAAATGTCAGTACATAGATTGCTCACAAAGACACAGTTGGCAGACAAAGGTAGAGAAAAGCATATTCAAATGTCCACGTATATGGGCTCATAAAATAATTATAATATAAATCTAAGTAACTTGGCACAGTATCCTTGTAGGATTAAGCCAAACACCCATCTCAAATTCAACTGCATGGCTTTAAAGCACCAAAGTATATTTCCAAATATAAGTTAGTAAAGCTATATGCAGAAGTTATCTGATTTTCAACAAGAGCTATTAGGTGTTCATTGCTGAAATAAAACAATTACATTTTTATTAAAAGATTAGTCTTCAAATTTCTTCCCACCAGTAATGCTTCTGTCGCAGAATGGATATAGAAAGGATAAAATGTGTACAATGTATTTCAAATGAGCAGATCTTTTATGCATACTAAAGGAAAGTCAACCACGGGGGAGTGGAATCAGGGAAAAAATTGATTCATTGCATCATAGAACTGGAAGGGACTTCTAAGTTCCTCTAGTAGTCCAACCCCTGCCAATGCAGGGAAACCACTGCTATAGCACCCTGAACAAGCAGCATTCAGCTTGTGCTTAAAAGTCTCTAATAAAGGAGAGTATACAAATTTCAAAGGCGTCAATTCCACTGATGAACAGCTCACACTGTCAGAAGGTTCTTAATGTTTATTCAACAACAACAGCATTATTCAAAAATGCATTTATTGTATTTTGAACCTGTTGGTTTGGGTCCTACCCTCTAGAGCTGCCTTTCTCAACTTTGTGTCCTCAGATGTTCTTGAGCTACAATTTCTATCCTACCTGACAAATGACCAGGAATGATGGGAGTTACAGTCCAACAACATCTCCCAAGGTTGAGAAACTGACAAACCACCAAAGAAACTAGCTACTGAATCTAACATGCACCTTGCTCTACTTGGTGTCAGAGTAGAATTTAATAGAATATAATTGTGTGTCTAAGGCACTGCAGCATGTTTCATTTCTCAGCAGTCTATACTGGCATGTGTGATACAGTAAGCTTCAGTGCTGATGCTTCACTTGCTTCCGCACTAATTAGAAAGCAATAGTGGTTGGCCATGATAGCGTAATTGCAATGGAGTGCTTTTACAGATGAGTACAATCAAGTACTACAGTTGTGACCATTCAATAATGTAATTAGCACTACTGGAATGATCTTTAGAACAACCTAATCTGCAGGTATCTGAAAAATGACCAATGCCATTTAAAATGTCTTAAGAGCATGTTTGGCTGAATTGGAAGTTAACTGCAACTGTTCCTTAACACAATTTGCAAATCACATAAGCTGTTGGCTTATTATTGCATTACTCCCCCCCCCCTTACAAAATTCTTGATCACAAGCATTTGATTTAATTTCATAGAGAGCACACTGGGTTTCTTCCTATTGCAAAGAGGGTCAATTCTTGGTCAAGCTGAACATGACTAGGATTACTGAAGCCCTCAAAGGGAAAAAAAGATTTGGGCATGTGCACTGAACCTCTGAACTTATGGTGCTTTGCTGGTTAAATTAAATGAGGGACAGAGGTCAAGTTCACTTTCAAAATCAAGGCCTGATTAAAAAACAAAGATTAACCCTGTATATATTTTTGACAGCAAATCAGGAGAGCACTTCTGAAGGTTACCCACAACATGCCAGCATTTTCTGATTCAACAAGTACTACAACCCGCTCCTTTGCAGGTGAAACTCAGAGCAACATATTCAGAACACTTTGAAATACTGGTTGTTCAATTACAAAATATCACTATGTCTGACTTCAAATTTTCCTTAGTTTGGCATTATCCCTGCTTGAGACAAAAAAGTAGCTATACCAATGGGAAGACTTGAATGGCAACCAGCTAATATACTCAATTCCAAGAATTTTAGTCTTCAGCAGTTTTCTGTTTAGAGTATCAGCACAATTTGAATGCATCAAGGTAAAGATCTAAAATCTGTAAAATTATGCCACCAGAAAGAGTACACTATGCATAGCTCCACTGAAATAAAATGACTAGTCCAAACTAGAAAGCAATGGCAGAAGTTTCTAGGAACAAAAGGTTCTCTTACCAGAGGTGATACTACCCTATGATACTCCAATTATTGTTCGACACTAATGAGTCCCAGCCAGGAGGGCCAATGACAAGGGAAGATGAAGGGCCACAGGGTAGCCATCTCCATCTTACCACAACAACCAATGTCCTGTTCAGAAAATCTGTTGCTTTCAGCACTTAGGAAAAAGAGTCTACTTTGCCATTAAGATTTTAAGTATCTTACTCAAGCAGAATCAGAAACCATGTGGTACAGCTCTTAAACTATTGTACCATACAGGGAATACCCATGAGGCAAGGTGAGGATCCACAGGGGCAGCAGAGCCAGCCTCCAAGGAATGCATCACCCACTGCTGCTGCTACCACAGGTGGTCAAATCTCCTCATGCCACCTCTACAATGGCCTCTTGGAAAATAGGAGCTGCTGGTCTCCTGTAAATTTTTATTCCCCCTCGTTTCTGATGTATTCACTCACCCCTTCTTCCTGGGAAGGGGCACAATTTTGTGGTTTGCCTCAAGTGCCAAAATGTATTGGGCCAGTATTAGTACCATAGTTTATTTTTATTATAAAACCAGTATAGAATGTCCTTGAGATACTGTTGTGAAGCGGTTTAAGATATAGTAAATAAAACTATCATGCTCTGTTGATCTATTAGATGCTCTGAGCCCACAGTATTTTAACTATGTTAGTGTAAACAGTAAATGTTACTGGTATGGAGTTATTCAATAAGTATTTCACTTTTTTAAAGAGTTTACTTACAACTTATCCAATTTTGTATTGTGGCCCCACAAGGAAAAGGGGATATGAAGGAGATTTATAAAATTATCAGTGGGGGAAAGTGACTAGAGATGCGCTATTCTCCTCTCATTATACTAGAACCTGGGATCAACTAATGACCGTTGTGAGATTCAGAACATACAGAAGGACATAGCATGTAGTTAGGACTTTGCTACTATAAAATGTGGTGATGGTCAGTATCTTAGATGCCTGTAAAAGAGGATTAGACGTGGAGGATAAGGTTATATACATACTACTTCCAGGATCAGCACAGCATGCGTCTGAATAACAGTTGCTCAGGAATAAAATGGAGAATGAGATATTGCCCCCATTTCTTCCTTGTGGGCTTCCTTTAGGGCTTAATAGAATCACAGAATTGTAGAGTTGGAAGGGATCCCAAGGATCACTGAGTTCAATCCCTTGCGATACAGGAATATGTAGCTGGCCCATACGGGAATCAAACCTGCAATCATGGCGTTATCAGCCCCATGCTCTAAGCAACTGGGAGTGGCTTCTGACTGGCCACTGTGGAGAGGATACCGGATATTCTTCCATAAGAATCTTCTTATGGAAGATTCTCAGCACATGTTTTAAGTATTTGTAATGTATAATTGAGTGTGTGTGTGTGTGTGTGTGTGTGTGTGTGAAGTCCACAACATTTTAAAAAGTGGTAACATTCAATGATGTTCTTGATAGTTGTTGTACCTTTCCTGGTACATGATCTTAAGGAGCTTGTTTCATCATGTTGGCCACTGACCATGGACTATTTTGAGTACATTCAAGTGATTAAATAACAATGAACACCATAGTAAAATATACAATTCTTGCTGCCTATAAATCAAAAGTCTATCATATGGAAATAAGCCTCTGACATCAAGCAACCATGTATTAAATGAAAGTGCTGGGGAACTAATATCCTCTCTTGTCTCTTGTCAATATTTGTCACAATTTTGCTGCTCTTCCTCCTGATGCTTTCTGAATAGCCTTTATTGTGTAAACTGGAACTGTGAAGCACAAAAATATGGTGGTATTTGTCAAAGTTTAAAGAAGGGACATAGTTCACATTTAAGGATTTGGACTGTGAGAACAATGCCATTTCAAATTTTACATTTAAAAAAATATATCTGAGAGAAAAATGTGTTTTTCAAGATACTTTAATTATAGCATCCTCCAGCCCCTCACCACTTTGGGATCTAGAAAGATTTCAGCAATGACTTCCTTTCAATTTGCACACCAGTCAGTCAGTTATCTTAATTCTTTCAGCAGTCCAGTTCTTCTAATATTATTCATTATAGCATATGAGGGGGGAAAGATTACTTACACCATTACAGATTTTTTTTGGAAAATGTGCAAGATTTGTAGTGTGTTTGAAGGTTGCAGGCTAGCTATGAACAAAATTTGAATGGAACACTACAACTGTGGCTTCTCTTAATTAGAAGCTGCTCTTTTCAATAAATAAATAAATAGGCATTAAAGGGTACATATCTTCTAACCTGGAGAGGGCTTTAAAGTCCTCCTTTGTCCATTGCAGCAAACTGAATAGAACAGCTTTAAAAAATAAACAGAGCTAAAATAATTACTAAAAACATCATTTTATAGGCTATTATTTCTCCAGTAAAGAGAGAATGAATCTTTAATCCTGAGCAAAAACTCTTCAAGGTTTATGTTCTCTATAAACCTTTCACTGAGAATTTAAAATATATGTTACTAATGCAATAAATGCCCTAACAAATATATCAGATTTTTCAGTTAATGCTTTTTACAGGCTTAAACTAAACTGAGTAAAAGAAAATCACCTTTTACAGTCTGACTCTTAAAGGAAGAATGCCTTTTTGTTATGCTTTTTAAAGAAGGCATGGTGAATTTATATCAACTTCACTGAATCTTGGACATGATAAAAGGGGGGGAAATAACACTGCAGTTACCATTCCAGAGTGCACTTTCTTCACATATTTATTTCCTCAGTGACTGGACATGAGCCAAGGAGGAGCAAAAAAGGGGGAAATAAAAACTCCACAGGAATATCTGAAATAGTCTTAGCACATCATTCACTGCAGATCCCCCCCTCCCTTCCAATGCACACACATTTGCTCTTCAGTAACTTCAATTGTTGGTCTTCAAAAGAAACTAAAGGAGAACATTGGATTTTAAATTTCTTACTGGTGAAAACGCTGTGTCTCTAGCAAAGTTATCCTATTAAATCACTCTAAATGAAAGTGTGGCTGCCGTTACGAGCTGTCCAGGCTTTCATCTTTAAAATCAGCTCTGCTCTTACTAAAGAAACATTAGAACTCATAAATCTCATTCCCTGTCTCCTTTCTTAACATACAGAACTTGAAAACTCTTAATTTCATTATAATGTAAATAAGAACTGGTGTGTGTGTTCAGCAACTCCAGCAAGAGCTTCTGCCCTAAAAGGGTGCACCTCTGCAGTCACTGCAGCCAGTGAGCATTCATCATTGTTAGCTACAAATCTTTCCAGCAGGGGATTTAGGTCTGTCACACTTGGAAGGGGGTTCTTGTCCCTGCCACATTAATCTTTTTTATTTCTTTTATTTGCTATCAAGTCAGGCTAATGAGGAAAGTTTAATGATATAGAAAAATAGGAGTATTCCTTATTACTTCGCATTCTTTATTTAACATACATGGCACTTCATTTGATTTGTATCATCTATCCCAAAGTTTCAAAGCTGTTAGCAACATGCAAGTCTTATAATCATATCCGTGGTCACAAAAAACAGCTACTCTGCTGTGTCCAGAAGGCATTCTTATTTCAGCTCCAGTAAGAAGCATGCCTTGCAGCCTACTTTGCATAGATGGGCAAACTCAATAGGATGCAGTAATTTTAAGAGTTGTAATGGAACATAGTATAGTGAGAAGTAGGTATATTGGGTTCAGACTAGGCTATTTATACAATTTTATTTAAGATTTGCAGGCTGCTCACTAGCTAGCAAGGCCCTGTGACATCTGGCAATAGAGTATACCAGAAAAAAAGCCAAGCATTAACATGCTACAATAAAATACTCTTCAAAAATCTCAAGGACAATTGGCAATGTTATTAGACACCAGTGGTGGCAACCAGTTGGTGCTGACTGTCACAGAGTGGCAGCATAGGAGGAGAGAACTTCACGTTATTATCTTTAAGTGCTGGGAAGCAATGGTGGAGTGCCAATGCATTGTGTCAGTAGCTTGTGCTCACTACCAGGACAGTTCAATGTGCTTCCATAGTGCGGGTTGTAGTACCCCACATCTCCACTGCAGTCTCTCACAGTCGCCAAAAGCCATTGCAGTAAAAGGTAAAGGTAAAGGACCCCTGGACGGTTAAGTCCAGTCAAAGGCGACTATGGGGTTGAGGTGCTCATCTCGCTTTCAGGCCAAGGGAGCTGGTGTTTGTCCACAGACAACTTTCCGGGTAATTTGGCCAGCATGACTTAACCGCTTCTGGCGCAATGGAACACCGTGAAAGAAAGAGCGCATGGAAACACCATTTGCCTTCCTGCCACAGCAGTACCTATTTATCTACTTGCACTGGCATGCTTTCGAACTGCTAGGTTGGCAGGAGCTGGGACAGAGCAATGGGAGCTCACTCCGTTGCAGGGATTTGAACCGCCAACCTTCCGATCGGCAAGCCCGAGAAGCTCAGTGGTTTAGACCACAGCGCCATCCGCGTCCCTATCTGCAGAAATCCAGTTTGAAGGTAACTAACTAATCCACAGTAGCCAGGTATCTGACTCCCAGAAAGGGATACAGCTACCAAATCAACATAGGCAATTAAAAAAGCACTCCAGGCCCCCATTGCCACCTGATTAAAGCAGTGAATCCAGGTTCAGGCGTATGCTCAAACTACAAACCTAGTTCTTAAGGGGGAGTCTAATTTCACTGAGAACAGACAACATAATATTCATCTTGACAAAATCTTATGCCATCAACAAGAAATCTGATAATAAATATTTCAGATATGAGAGTAATTAGGAAGCTGTCAACATTTATTTTATAACTCAGCCTGAGGACAAAAAAAGCTGCTGAGGGCTATAAACAAATGTACTGCATTTGGTGAGATTACTCTGAAGTAGGTTGCTTCTAGGCTTGAAGATTCCTCATTAAAGGGAAATAAAAAGGCATAAGAAGGCATATGGCTGACATCTTATCTTGGTTTATGCATTGAAGGATTTAAGATTCACAAACAAAAAATGTGGTTGGTTTCACTGAATTTATGACCGAGTATTTCTGCAATGTGGAAATGCTGTAGAATCAATAGTCTGAGAAGCAAGTATTTAATTAATAATAATAATAATAATTTATTATTTATACCCCGCCCATCTGGCTGAGTTTCCCCAGCCACTCTGGGCGGCTCCCAATCAAGTGTTAAAAACAGTACAGCATTAAAGATAAAACATTGCATTTTGCAGTGACTGTCAACTACCTGATTATAATTGATAGTCATGATGATTCTCCATACCTAATTTGAAAGATTTATTTATTTATTTTTTGTAAAAACACAGTGTGCAGCCAGGTGACTCTACTGTTTAGACAGTCGTACTTGAACCTGGCAACTGACCTATCAGAAAATTGCACCACAGGCTTGGCTTTAAACTAAATCTGAATGTAATCACACCATAACTGACCTTACATAACCATCTTAAAAATTAGGTTACTATCTACAAAGGCTTAATGATTTTAAGTATTTTTATGGGGTTCATGTTATGGCCACAGAACGAGACACTTTAAAGCACAATACAGTGAGGAATATAACAGCTTTGACATAGAATTTGTGCCTTAGGATATGAAAGTGACTCAGTGCCTAAAAGAAAAAGGTCAGCTCCCTTTGGAATCACTCGCTTATCTGCCCTCCAGCAATGACAGGTGCACCAATACTATTGTAAATTTATTTATTCATAGTACACAACGAAATGGACAACAGTGGTAAATGGACACAACTAAATGGACAATGCAGTGGTAAAAATACAACCTTACATTTCATCAAGCAGCTCCAGTGGACATCCTGATTATTAAAAGTAATTATTATACACTTTAAAAATGATACTCCTGTTCTTTATCCATTTCTATCCTACTCTTCTTCCCAAATGAGCCCAAGGTGACAAGCAACTAGGTATAAACAATGCATTCAAAATAAAAACACATGTAAAACATTTTAAACAGTTAACAGCACCTAAAAGGATAATGAACACCTAAGAACATTTAAAAACCAATGGCGAACTTGCCTATAGGCTGCAACAGAGTAACAAAAACAACATGCCCAATTGTTTTTTGTTTTTGTTTTTTTTATTAAAAAAACACACACAGGGACACCAGTGAACAGTATAAAAAAATAATCATACCAAAAGGTAGGGGTACATAGAAGATCTGAAAACTATGATGGCATATGGATCTTGACTAGAAGTGTTGCTCAAACATAAACATAAACCTTGCATTTTCTACAAGTCATTGTACAGCATATTTTATTAAGATGTTTAAGAACCCTTTTTGGTAACGGAGTGTATAAAAAATGTATACCTTCTGCGTATTATATGGATATTTATTCTGTGATATGGATGAGAACTTGATGAGACTAAACAAGTCCCAGCATATCACTTTACACAGGCCATGGATTGTACTGGCAGTCAAAATAGGGTCCATATGTGACAAAAATTATTGTAATCAATATAGGAAACGGAATATTGATGATTATTCTGCTCTTATTCCATAGACCAGTGTCTATGCTGTGATTGGCTGGCTGTGGGCCAATAAACTGAAGCGGAATCCTGAAAAGACATGTGTATTGGGTGTCTTAAATTCTCATGTATAGGAGGTGGGGAGATAGATGTCCTGGTTGGAATCCCACTCCTCTGGAAGGAGCAGGTGTGCAGTTTGGGGGTGCGCCTGGATTCAACATTGTCATATGAGTTCAGTGTTTAGGACTGCTATTTTCCAGCTCCATCTGGTTCACCAGCTATTACTCCATCTGGACAGAGATGATTTGGCCACTGTACTCCATGTTCTGGTAACCTCCAGATTAGATTATTTCAATATGCTCCACATGGGCCTGCCCTTCAAAATACTAGGAAACTTCAAAGAGCCCAAAATAAAGTGTCCAGATTACTGGCTGTGGTTCTGTTTAGAGCTCATATAACCACTGTTTTGAAACAGCTGCACTGGTCGCCAGTTCATTTCCAGGCTCATGCCAGAAAGGTCACAACAGACCCCATTGTGTATTAAGATCAGCAGAAAGTTGTTCCACCTTTCTTAGAAGTTCAGGGTGGTAGCACACCACTAGAGGGCATTCTCTGGGACAGCCCCTAAACTGTGGGATTCCCTCCCCACAGAGGTGTATCTTATACCTTCCTTATACAGCTTCTGGGTAATGCTGAGGACACATCTTTTTACCATAGCTTTTGAGATGTGTGGTTTTCAGACCCACTGTATTTCTGGGGCTGTAAACTGTCAACTGTTTTTAAAGTGTTTTAATTGTTGTAAGCCACCCTGGCACCTTAGGATGAAAAGGGGGCGGAAATTAATAATAATATTGGACAGAGCAGGAGTATTATTTTCTTAGGTTCTAAATATATTGTCCATGGTTGGGGGACTGATTTTCAGAGACTATTATTAAGCTGCAGTCATGCAAACAATGGGTTCTGTTCTAATTTGCTTTTCTGAAAAGAGTAGTTTTTGCCACTTTGAGGAGCCAGGTCTCCCCACATAAATAATAGAATACAAGCAGGGGGAGGGGGGAATCTAAACTCAAGGCTAAAAGCATGCAAAAAGTGGCGAATCTCATGCAATTTTTTCCAGTAATTGTATGTTTAGAATGTTGCTAAATAATCTTGCTTTTCCAGAATAACTCAAATTAACTTGGATATGTCACACAGGCTGGAAACTGGCTGACAACCATAAATGAAGGGTAAAGATAAAGAGAATCTCTTGATTCAGAGGGGAAATATCCAGCTGTGTGTTACAGGGATTAGTGTTATCCAGTTTTATTTAACATCTTTATTAATAACCTGGCAAAAATCTAAACAGTACATGAACTCACAGCAATGGTTACCCTAAAGTAGAAGGCACTGCAGAACCTCACTAAGGATATAACAAATAGGCCTATAGAAGATAGAGAGGAAGAGGGGAAATTAGATTCAGTATAGAGAAAATTCAGAACCATCAAAACAGATATTTCAATGGAAGATATCAAGAAATAGTAATTTACAACATTCAAACATAGAAAAAGGAGAACTGGGAAAGAATCTTCAACAGCATGTCATGAACAAAGACAGCAAAAAAGTGGCATGGATGGTCGTCAGCTGTGATGAGACAGCTAAAAATACATATAGACTGTTAGTGATGATGGTGATAAAGTGATATAGGAGATAAGCATATTCAGCTTAAAAGCGTAAGAACCACCCAGCTGGATCAGATCAAAGGCCCATGCAGTCCAGCATTCTGTTCTCACAGCAGCCAACCAGATGTTATGGAAAATCCCAAGGAGAACATGAAGACAGTTGCACTCCTGCTTGTGATCCCAGCAATTTTTATTCAGGGGCATGCTTCCTCTTATGCTGGAGGCTTTATTGTCCTTTAGTTTTACTGAATCTCCTTTTAAAGCAGGTTGGTGGCCATGACTTCATATTGTACTAGCAAATTCCTTGGTTTAACTATGTGTTGTGTGAAGTACTTCCTTTTGCCCAGTCTGAATCTCCCAAATTCAAGGTTCACTGAATGACAGCTAGTCAAAATATATAAAGCACAAATGGGGAAACTTCAGCCCTCCAGACTTTGTTGAAATGGCTGTCCTTTGCAGGGATGTCAGAGAATTCTAATGGAAATGGAAGGGGAAATTGCCTGTGTTTGGATATTTGCCCCATGTCCAGAACAGAAAGAAATCCAGCAAAAATTATTGCTATTTGCTGCTGTTTTCAATCTGAAAATGGTATGTGATTCATTACATTCCCCCAATTTGCACTGAAAGGAATGGAATGGAATAACATAATGACATGAAAAAACTTACATGAATTAAGTTATGTAATTTTACCACAGTGGACACCAAGATGATTAATGTCAGATTGGGTAGAAGACAAACTGCAGCAGAACAGAAACAGCTGGAAGGTAAAACGATGTCTTCTTACATCCTTAGTCCTATATGCTGATTCACAGCGGTCAGTATACTTTAAAGTGCTGAATAACTAAGAACAAATTTTTAAAGTATTGTTTGGTCCTATTTTCATAAGCCACGCCTTCTCTTCCACCCAGAAGCTTGCTCAGATATTCTATCTCCTGGCATCGGCCTCTTCTATAGTTCACAGGAGGGTCCTGACTTTGGCTGGGTCCCTATTCTGCAGTTTATTCAATACAATGGTTTGTCCAGACTACAATACATACTCAGCAAACACTAAAGAGCAAAAATAAAATATATTTAAGTAATATCAATGACTGTACCATATACACCCATATATTTCTCTGCATACATGTGAGACTATGATTTTCATTTACATCTGTCTGGATCACTTTATATGCAGAATTGTTCAAAAGAGATTTTGAGTAAGCACATCTACCTTTTCTCAAGTGTTGGGGTATTTGCTCTAAAACAGGAGTTGCCAACTTATTGCTCTCTAGATGTTATTAGACTACAACTCCCATAATCCATGACCACTGCCCATGCTGGCTGAGGCTGAGAGTTGGAGTTCAAGCAACAGAAAAGTCACAGATAATCTCTGAAGTGATGATTATCTCAAGTAATCATGATTTTATTTTTAAAAATTACTTATTATATGGTATTTATTAAACAAAACTGATTATGGGTGGCTGGAAAGGCTATTCTTTATTACTAAAATAAAAATAGTGACATTAAATGATGGCAAATAGGATTATTCACTGTTTGCAATTTTCAAAGTGTTGCCTACTGAACTAACCCAAGTGCTCCCCCAAGTGTCCAAAGTGTTCCTTTAATTTTGACACAGTTGCAAACAAGAAAATTCCTGTTGTATCGCCTGATAATAGAGCTCATAATGCCAGGTACCAGAATTTAGTTTGAAAGACACAGCTACCTCAAGTTATATACTGCCTATGAGATAATTATTCAGTACCTAACAAGTTAGAGGTCTAAATACATCTGGATGTTGTGCTAACAGCTTTATGTTTTATATATAAAGTATATAAAATATATTTAACAGCTTAATACTCTGGATACAATTTTATGCTGCCAAGTAAAATATGGGTCACTTGTATTATCAGCCCCAATAGCTTTTCATTATGAAAAGCCAAAGCAAACATAGACTTTTGCCCATGGTGTTCAAGGCTTCTTCAGTGTTGGTTCTGGATAGGAAGAGATAGCTTTTATCCACATATGTGAACATTCATACTTTAAACTAGGATTATGGTGAACAGATATGAGTATTGCCTTTTCTCCTGGAGGAAAAACTGATATAGACTATAGTTAAGAACCCAACCCGTAGATAAACACTGATTAAAACACAGCTGAAATCAACACATGGCATAAAGTCATAGTGTTTTAAGGAGATTAAAGTGTTTCCTCTACAGATTCAAATGCAAAGTTTTGATTTTGTCTTATTCTGAAAAGGTTTCAATCTCCTTTTAAATTTCAGGAAAAAATTAAAATAATGTTGTGTTGTATAACTGTGTACATCCTGCCCTTTAATGTCCATGGTTGTGGTTTGTTCCCCAACTCTGCAAATCAAAGATTTTAAAACCAACTCCCAATCACATTATCTTAGTTACTATTATATTTTCCTTTAGAACTTCAACAGTTAAATGGAAAGTTTGGCACAACTTGTTAGGTCTAAGGGGATGTAAATCTTTTTCATGTAATTCAACTCAAGTTTGAAAATGTGCATCCCTTTTCACCAAGTCCAGCTAGACACATGGCTTGTCAAACATCTTCATCAAACAAATCCCAGAGGTCTGCCAACGAGGCTCACCCTTGTATACTCTCCAGTTTTCAGAAATTACCACCTTTCAGAGTCAATTCACATTTCACGGGCATAAAACTGGAACTTCTCATAGGACTAGTCATACAAATATTAATAGAAACCTCTTTGTCTGAGTGTCTATCTTCACATAGCCAAAATCGCACCACCTATGCACAGGGGAGAGAGATATTATAGAGAACCCCTAGATTACAAGGGAAAATTGCGGGGTGGGGGCACCCAGGTACACCCCCCCAAATGACATACAGTGGCCACACACTGCAGAGGATCTGTTTGGCTGTGTGTGGGGGGGGAGGACAGAAAACCAGGGGGAAGAAGAATAGAATGGAACATTGTAAAAGAAGAAATGGCTGGGCCAGCTGAAATACTAAACTGAAGTACTCCCCACTGAAACATTTTTCTAGTCCCACTTGCTATATCTAAATGTAACCAAGCCCTCATACTGTTTATTTGCACTTAAACAAATGCATTAAACAAACAGTTGACAAATGTTTGAAACCAAGTCAATTTCAAAACAACAACAGGATGTTTTCAATTAAAATGTTAATATAAACATCATTATCCACAGAGATATTCATAATCAGTAATACAACACTGAAATGTTTGCATCAGAAAAGGTGGAAATCCCTTCCATATTTCATGAATGTTTATGTAAAATTGGCAAACTAAATCTTTTCCATTTTGAACTACTGTACTATTGTGATAACTTTCATGCATTTATTCATCACATCATTTAAACTGAAGAACAATCCTTTTGCAAAGGCACACAAAGAGCTCGGAATATGTTAAGATAATTTTTAATAAGGATATTCTTTTGGCTTTTATTGTGATCATATCAGGACATTGGAAAATAAAAGGTACTAAGTTTAATCAGAATAATTTTCAGTAAGAGCTTACCAGAAATGTATACCTTATGCAAATTATACTTTTTAATCCAATGCTATTATTGACTTTATTTGCCCCATGATACGAATAAGAACACAGTGGGACTAAATACATCCCAGTATATCAGTTTATGCAGCCTATGGATTGTATTGTCAGCCAGAATAGAGCCTAGAAGTAGCAGAATCACCTTTAGGCAAATGAGTATTTCCAGTTATTCTGTTCTTAATCCACTTACTCACCCATCTACAACTAACCTACAGGTTCATAACCAGTATAACTTGCCTTTGTGCATTGTTAATTTCCTACAGTATATCCTCAAGCACAAAAATATACTTCTAACATTTGAAGCAAAAAGTAATCTGGGTAGCTTCTGATATATGAAATACACACAATATTCCAAAATGTGAAGGGATATATATTCTTAATTAGGAAGGACAATTGGCAAGAAATCAGCAACATTGATAGAACATGGTAATAAAAGACTTACTTATTCCAGGCTTGCCTAAGGTTTTTTGCACTGTACTGTGTAAACCGATCTGTAACAAAAAATAAAGATCTCCTGTTTTGTATGAACCTATATAGGAAACATACTTAAAATAGTCTAATAAATACAACAAATACAACTTATTGTGTAGCTCAGTCGCATTAAAAATAATGTAAACTATTTTTAATACTGCTATTCAACACAAGTTTCCAAGCTAAATTTAACACCCACCTACCCCAAAAGCTGAGAACAAACTGCAACATCAACAGTAAAAGGAGTAACAAAAAAAGCTCAAGAAAATAGAATTAAATTCACATGATGCCTAATATTTATTCACGTAGGCACCAGCTGAATGCCTCTGGGAGATACTATTCCACAACTGGAAACCACCACTGAAAAGGCCTTGTCTCTGATTGCCATTAACTGCTGACTGTGGTGACATCCTAGAGAATTTTTTAAAACCAAACAGGTTCCTAGGAGAGCCTCTGGTCCTTCAGAAATTTGGCTGCAAGCCTTCCAGAGCTTTATAGGGAAAAACCAGCACCCTGAATTGTGCATGAAGACCACTGATTTTTTAATACTGGTGAGGTCTTAAATGCAAATACCAGTCAATAATCCGGTTTAATAACATTATGAACCAGGACCGTGTTCTTCAACCTTGTGTTCACAGATATTGTTGGACTACAACTCCCATGAATCCATTGGGCTACCATCCAGGTAAAGAGTTCTAACCCAACAATATCTGGGGGCGCCGGGTTGAAGAACAGTACAGCAGGAAACTTTATACAGTCGGATTATATTTCTTGTACACAAACACATCCACTTGAGCATTTCTTTCATGGCTCCATATCCCTGATGAAGTAATCTATAACAGCAACAGGAAGAAAAATGAACTGAAACACAGGCTCTTGTGTAGAGACAAGCTGGGAGGTATGCAACTCATATAAACCTCTACTTGGATAAGAATAACCACAGTCCCACAATTACAGTAATTACTTGTTCCTTTGCCCATAATAGTAGCTCAAGAAACAAAAGTTCTTTATTGTTCACAATTCCTCAACCATCAGTGAAGGGAAAGAAGTACTAATTTTACTTTCTTCCTGTTTTGCAGGAGTAAGGGATGGAATTATTCCATGATTATTAGCCTGAGTTTCCCTATCCCTGCAGTAAAGCATGCCTAGCTTCTCCCTCCTTCATGTCTGGGTCCTGGGCCGGATACAAAAACAAGAGAGAAAATAACCCACATGGTGCCTTCGAGATGTTGTTGGACTCCCGTAAGTTCCAGCAAACATGGTCAGGGATGATGGGAGTTTTAGTCCAACAGCATCTGGAGGGCACCACATTGGCTATATCTACTGTACACTGAGCTTGAAAAAAACATTCAGTGACAGAGCAGCAGGTTTGAGAGAAGAGATGAAGCGACAGACAAATCAACGATATAGCCTGACAAAGATACTGAAGCATAAGTGACAATCAATATGCTTTGTTTAGTGTAACAAAACAGATGGAAGTGGCAGCACTAAAATGTTTCACTTGTTAAATGTGAAAAAATAAAACAGAATTTACAAAATAATGTAAACAAAGACTCAAAGCCCCTAACATTTTTTAAAGTGCCAATGGGAGCAAATCTGGACAAGAAACAAAATCTCTAAAATTAACTTCATTCTCAAACATGCAGTGTAGAGTATGAACGGAAAACATCTGAAATTCTTGCCAAATCTTGCTTCCTTGCCCTTTCCAACTTGCCAACTGGAACTGTGTGTTGTATGGTTTTATTTTGGACTGTCCCTAGATACCAACAGAAGGCCATACCAGCTGATTTTGGGTTTACTAAGAGATATTGTCAGGTTCCAAGTCAAACTAAAATGAAAACAAAAAGACGAACATTTTTTATTGAGGCATAACCTTATCAGCTGTAATCTTGCATCTAATAAAAAGGACACTAGTTCATAAAAGCTCATACCACAATAAAATGTGCTAAGTCTTTTAAGGTGCCACAGAATGCTGTGCTGTTTTTCCTGCAATAGACTAAAAAGGGGAATCCCCAGTAAAGGGAATATGGATTAGAAATACCATCCCCTTGTGATTCAGGATATAAAAGGACAGAGAGAGCCATGGGCACGTTGCAAGAAAATGAAATGTCTTTTGAAAACATTGCGTAGGACTAACATTTATTTAATTATTATGTACTATTTCCCACACCTTTCAGGATACAACTTCTTCTAAGATGACTTACAGAAAACTCTTTCCCTCTGCAACTTTCCCTTTCAAGTTGCTTTCACTCCTACCACGAACGTTCTGAATACAAACTTAGCTTGCAAATTACCCAGGATTGGTAAGAAGAGTTTCAAGGGAAATTGGCTGAGAGAAGGGGCTGGTGGACTACTACTACTACTACTACTACACATACTACACATGGCTGGTGCAATTTTATAATATTTCTTATCCACCCTTCACCATATAAAATTGTGTGTGTGTGTGTGTGTGTGTGTGTAAAGTAAGCTAGAGAGCTGTAGGGAGGCTAGAATATAAGGAGGCTAGAATACAACTTCACCACTGTTACAGTATAAAAGGATAACAGCAGTCATTGTTTGGAACATATAGTTAGTAGCATGTAAGGACTTTGCAGGAAGTGGAGCAATTTATGGACCGTTTTATGAATCTAAATTATTTTGCTGCCCAAATGTTATTTCAAACTTATTATGGACCAAAATATGTTGGGAACTATGAGACTACATACCTCTTATTTGCATTTTTTCTGTTCAAAATTCTTAAAAGCCTTATGCTCTGCTCTAAACCTTTCTTAAAGCAATTCAGTAAGCACCACATTTACAAATCTCAGGGGAGAAAATAATCCTTTTAGAGGAAAAATAGAATTTTATTGCTCCTGAATTTCAAACTACATCACTTGCAGCACAATTATGGTCTCTGGTTGCCTAATTATTGCCCCAAATCTCCTGAGTACCTTATTTACTCATCTTGCTCTCCAAGACGCCTATAAATTACTTCATAAACTTTCTAGGCAAATAAAGCTTTTGGATAACAACTGCTGGCCTACTTTATTTTTATTTTTTTAAATAAATATACCTGTATGGTGTTTTGACTTATCACTGGTAACTTTTATATTAAGGCAAAAAAATCCATGATAACCTTTCATTCAAAATACAGCATTTGGCATTTATGAGAGTCAAATGTAGTCTTCCAATTTGGTTACCCAAAACACAGGATGAAATTTTGATTTCCAGATAATATTCAGAATATTAATACCTAACTTTAATAAAGAAGTGACAACAAAATCATGTAAAACTTGGATTTACCTAATCCTGAGAACCTAATTTAAGGTTCAGGTATACATCCATTACCACTGGATGTATTTTCAGGAGTAAATTTTAAAAGTTTGATGTCTTTTCTTTAAAAACAAAACACCTTCTCTGACTTGCCATTCTCTACAGCAGGGGTCCTCAAAGTACGTTCCGTGGCCTGCCTCCGGCCCGCCAGGGTCCTAAACCCGTGCCGGCCACCGCCGTCTCCACCCTTCCCTTCCCCACCCTCCCATCTTAAGCAAAGAGTTCGCAACGCTGGCCTTGGCAAGCATCCTATAAGAAGCGCTCCTCGCACCCCTGGCCAAGGGAGAAGGCAGCAGCTGCACCGCTTCTACCTCCAGCTTGGCGCTCGCCCGCTGCTGCTGTCGCCGCTGCTCTTCCTCACCAGCAGGAGTCTTGTGGCGGGCTGCCTCTTTCCCGCTGCCTTTGGTCTCAGCGGTGGTAACAGCAGGGAGAGTCCGGCTGGGAGATCAAGCAGCGTTGCTATTTTAAAGTTGGTTCTTCTCCCCGCCTCTCCCTTTGCCAGGGAGTTCCTCAAACCCCAGGATCAGCATGAGTGCCAGAGCTGGGGGTGAGGTTGCTGGTCTGTTTGTGCCGCAAGGAGTCTGCACCCGGTTACTCATGGGATGAGGGGAGAGATATCTTTGATCGCCATGGCCAACTTGAGTGGGATGCTGCCTGAGGAAGAGCGGGAAGGAGAGAGAAAGAGAGCCGGCTTGCTATCCTTCCTGCTGCATTGAGCGCTGGAGGTGGCCATTGATCTTCACAGAATTCCCTGCGAGTTATGTAAGTGTTCTAGAGTTGGAATGGGGAAGGATCCGCACCGAGCTTGGACCTCAGGGGTGGCATTGGAAATTATTTCTGGAAAGCAAGTTATTCTAAAGCTCTCTCTGCCCTCCCATTGAGGAGGAAGGACCTTTGTAATAAACGGGAAATGACTGCACTGTTTGCAAAAGTATACGACTGTCCTGACAGTGCTGTGACTAGCAGTGAGAAATATGGAACCAGATATTGACCATCTCATTAGCCAAAAGCAGGCCCATACTTCCCACTGAAATACTTACAAGTTTATGTTGATTAAAATCGTTCATTTTAAATATTGTATTGTTTTTTCCTGTTTTTTGTGCACTACAAATAAAATATGTGCAGTGTGCATTGGAATTCGTTCATATTTTTTTTCAAACTATAGTCCGGTCCCCAACAGTGTTTGAGGGACAGTGAACTGGCCTCCTGTTTAAAAAGTTTGAGGACCCCTGCTCTACAGCATAAAAAGCCTATTAAACTGTGTTGTTTTTGGTACACACACCTATTCCATTAATTTTGACTTTTTAATAACACTTTGGAGCTGTTTCCGAAAGCACATTTATTATCTAGTATGCTCTTGCCTAATAGCATTGATGAACTAAACAGCTAAACTGCCTTGACTCCGAGGGAAAGAAATGTGGGGGAGGCACCCTGAGGAAATAACAGTAATAGTAGTAGTAGTAGTAGTAATAATAATAAGAATAAGAATAAGAATAATAAGAATAATAATTTATTTATGCCCCACCCATCTGGCTGAGTTTCCCTAGCCACTCTGGGCGGAAAGGAAAAGTACAAGCTCAAAGCAGGGCAGAAAACAGGCAGTGCATGCATTTATTTGTTTTATTACATTTTATCTGATTAAGTGTGCATATTTGCCTACTATTTTCCCCCATGTTCACCTGATATCTCCTACTCTCTCACTGATTTGAGTTCCTACTTTAGTTTGCACCAGAAATGTCTAACAGGGATATTTTACTGTTCAGAGCAGCTCCTTAATAAAGTTACTAATTAATCCCACATACTGCTTTAGGGGCCTGGATCCCAGCATCCCTCTACTGGTCCTCATATATCACAGAGAAGGAAACAGAAGCGTGCTTTTTATCCATTTGATTTTGTGTGCTTGGCTCCTAAGGCAGCACAACAAGGAGTGTGAGAGAGGAAAAGTACCGATGTTCATAGTTTTGTCCTAGAAAGAAGAGCACTGTGTTCTGCAATAATGAGTAAGTGCTCATTATCTTGCCTGGAAGGTTGCAAGAAGCTGAATAAAATGGGAGGTTTTGTGGTGTTTTGCTTTTGGCTCAGAGGAGAACTTGAGCAAGGATTAGTTCTCTGAAATATCTTTAAAATCTTTTTGTTAAACACTTGTATAAGAGCGCAAAACATGACACAGCAATAATATACCGCATTTTTCTGTCTCTAAGATGCCCCTGTCTATAAGATGCTCCCTATTTTGGGGGCCTCAAAATTTAGAAAATGGGGGGGATGGAGCTTTCGGGGAGGATTATTTGGGGGGAATGCCGAAAATCACTCACCCGCCAGAACGCAGCACACAACCACTCGCGTCACTTTCAATCGCCACTTACAATCTTGGGCTTGCACTTTGTTCCGGCGGATGAACAATTTTTGGCATCTCCCCCCCCCCCCGGGATCAATCAAGTGGCCAATTGCCGCTTACGATACGGTATCATGCCAAAAAACCGTTCGCGCATCTCCCCCTCAGCACTACCCGTGTATAAGACGAGCCTAAATTTTGAACCTCATTTTTGGGTCAAAAAAGCTTGGCTTACAACACGGAAAAATATGGTAAGTACATCCTTTGATACCAGTTCAGTCTGTATCTTGGGCCAGTACTGCCACAGTTTCTGCCCAGAATAGATTATTATGCAATCATCCCAGGAAGGAATACTGTCTCAACATTATGTTATACCAAATCACACCTTGGAAAGGCAGGGGGAGTTTCTTAAATTAGGGTGCTAATAATAGTTTAAGATGACATGGATTTTGAACTGTCAAATTTGTTTTTATACATTGCTTAAGAGTTATTTTTAATATATTAAGCAGTATAGAAATTAAATAATCAATGAAATGTAAAAAGTTGTAGATATTTAATTGTCACCAGCCATTTTAAACTTAGTAGCTGTTAATGACTTTCTTCCTTCTGCTCAAAATCTTGTTTTCTGCTGAAAACCTAGCTAGGCTTAGACATCAAAGCCTTTTAGCAGATGCTAACTTTCTCTTCATCAGTGTTTTCTGCATACTTTTTCCCTAAGTCAATTAGAATTGGAAGAAAAAAATAGACAAACTTCTGCATTGATAGACACACTAGGCAGAAATGCATGATTACAGTACAGTGAGCACACAATTTGATAGCTTTTGTCAGTATGCATTTTACCTGTTATATGAAGGCACTATTATCATCAAAGGAATGCAGTATTTCATGTGGAGAGAAATACTGTACGAGTGAAGAAGCAGCACATTTGTGAGTTCTTTTGGATCACACCTGTCAGTGTGTGTGAAAAGGATTTTTGCAGCTTCTGTGTGGGAGCCATGCAGTTTAAATCAGCCTTAAGGTTCTTAGATTCCATTATAAAGCAAACGCAGAAACAATTTTTTTTAACCTTATAAAAAGAACCAAGCAACTTTCCTCCCACATTAATGCCAAAGTGTTAAACTAAGAGCATCAATAAGATGCTTATCTAGCAGCCAAATATAATGGCAGCAAATCCATGTATTTAAAATACAAATTTGACCAAATCACATGGAAACCTGGGAAAGAGGTTTTCCCACTCTCTCTTTCCTCACACACTTCTAGTATTGAAGAGAAAATCACCAGGTGTGGCGAGACTGTTGGACTGTGGGTGAAGACTGTTCGAACTTCTCCCAGACTCATCCACCTATTCTTTTTGCTGTTAAGAATGTTTACATCCATGTTTACATCTATTGTAACCACATCTAATTTCTTTCTGCCAAAGGGAATTCAGAGTACTTGGCGCTTCTGAGAAGTCATGAAGCCTACAAATAATAATTGCTAGTAAAGGATAATATTTTGGATTACAAATTTGTATAGAATTAGATCAAGTTTGAAAGAACAAAGGTCTAAAAAATTATTACTCACAGAAAAAGAATGGCTTTTTCCAGCTGACAATCATCTGTACCTTTCCAAGTACAGTGTTTTAAAGCTAGTGTTTTAAATCACAACTGGCAAAGCGTATAGCATTTAACCAGAGAAACATAAATCTAACACAATGGCTATCTTAAAATATAGCCTATATAACATTCCCTTTTCAGTTTATTTCCCTGAATCCGCTCTATTAAGAAAAATTACAAACACACGACACATATACACAAATTAAAATCAAATCAAACAGAATT